TGTCCCGGCAAAGCCCAGTTCATTTCAAAAGAATTACGGCAATTTGCAATTTGCAATGATTGCACTTGTTTGCAATAAAACCCTTCCCATTTCCCTTCTGTCCAGTCTTGCATAAGGATTATTCAGAAAGTCATCATGAATTACTTATTAAATAGGAGAAAATATCATTTAGAATTATATTAATGAAAATTATAAATCAACATCATCATTTTTGCACGTTTTCAATCCACTGGGTTCTTATAACCGTGGCTCTGCCAAAATCGTCCCGGGTTCTGCCTGGATCGACTGGGGCTCTGGGGTAAGTGTCACCGCAACATAAAGTTTCACCCCGGATCATCCCAGTTACTGTAAGTTACTGTAAGTAAATGAGACCACAACTTTAGATGACAATACGATATCAGGTGATGTTCTTGACAGTGAGACTACATGTGATAGTGAGATATTTAGAATGGTTAAAAGCGATTTTTTGATGATAATCAGAAATCTAGGTATGATAAGGTAGGAAAGGTTATAGACAAAATTACAAGATATTGTGACTTTGATATATTGGGCATTGCAAATGAACTTGGAGCTATGTATGAGTCCAAGAAACTGAGTTGTGTAAATATAGCTGGTGCCATGTGTGACACTGAAATATTAAGTAGCGTGAATGAAAGTGGAGCTATGTGTGCCTCTGAGATATTGAAAAATGTTAATGTAGGTGGAGCTATGTGTGCCTCTGAGGTATATACAAAGAAAAAGAAAGTATATTTATGGGGTCACACTTATGCTAATGAAGGTGGCCTTCGGGACTTGGCCTTGAGACATATCGTCTCTTCTATGTATTGTTGCTACATTGGGTTGTGTCTAAAGTGTGTTACCCATATAATAAAAAAATGTGCAAGTTATATGTAATGCACAATTTGTAAAATATATTTTCAGTTCAAATATATTCTGGGACTGTTTGTGAAACTGTTTATTGCAAAGATATTCTTGCACTTTGAATGAAGTTTCAGACAAGTCCAAAAAGTTTTTCAGAGAATATTGTTCACTATTATATGATTTAAAAATAGCTGTAATCTCATTGGTTCAAACAGTGGTAATCAGAACAAAATTATAAAATCATATTCACTGGCTGAATCGGATTTTCCCTATCTAAATTAGAATCAGACTCATATCCTAAATAACCCTACAGCATGGGGATGCCAGATAAGTTGCGTCATTTGAGCGCATTTTATTTATGAACAGCATTAAAGTGTCATTTTGGCGCATTTTAGAATGGAACTATGGGCTAAGGATGACCTCATTAAGCCGCTTATAATATTTAAGTTGTTTAAAAATAAATGCATAAACTATTGTTAGAAAATAGTTGTGGATGAAATGACATTAATTTCCATGAATAAATATCTTATTGAAGGTAACCATTTTAAATATGAAAGAATATGAATGTAACTGTCTTATTTTGAATATTAAAGAATATGATAGGAAATGCAAGAAAACAAGAACTGTCACAGAAGACAGAGACTCGACTCATCAGATACTGGATGCAGTAAGGAAACCGAAACTATGAAAGAAAAATCAATTCTGATAAAAATATATATTTGTATTAGTATCAAGAAAGCAGTCAAATGTTCTATATTTTGCACAACATATTGATCTTGTCAATAAAATTAATGTTACTTTAATGGAAAGACAGCAATTTGAAATCTGAAGTCCATCCCTTCAAAAACAAAAATGATAAAAGCAAAGAGAATTTAAAGTAAATTATAAGTTCAAAGTGGAAACAACTCTTGAAAAAAGAAATTAGAGTTATGAACCTTGTCATGCATGATGTGACTAATGACAAATAACAATTATTTATCTTAAGTCTAGAGCAGATACCATTTATAACAACAAAGATAATACTAAAAAAATCAATTTACAAATGAATTTCAAAAATTAAATGGGGATAATTCTGGGAATACAAGGGCTTGCATTTTATAACTCTTATCCATATGACAAGAAGTCATAGTAAAAAAAATAACATTTGTTAACATAAATTCAAAGTTCAAGGGGGAATAATTCTCGAAGTAGTAACGCTAGAGAAATAATATCGATCTTAGCGGTGTTTATTAGCTATTTAACACCGGTTTGGAGTTTTGATGCATAGGAATTGACCACGAAGGCCAAAGAACATATATTTGAAGTTTGAAGCTGATACTTTAAGTATTTTACTGCACCAAAACTTTAATCTGAAATCTGGACGCGGATGCCGGGGCAAGGAGGACAGCTCTCCATATACTTTGTATAGTTCACCTGAAAATGATTATCAAATTAATTGGCATTTGTTTTTTGTTTTTCAGGTGTAATTAATGTCCATCATGTTCTTTAAAAGTTTTGTACACTATCAATAATGACCTTTATTTATGTTTACACAGTCAAACTTAAAATTTCATGAACTTGAAAGTGCAGTAAGAGAATGTCTCATACCTAAAATATGAAATCAAAATAAAAAGTAAATGCGAAACAGTCCTATCTGGCAATTTATACTCCATCTCTTACTGAATAATTAGAAATGCCAAAATATTAATCTATCTTAAATTAAATAAGAAAAAAAACTTGCTTTTGTTCTATCAAAATGTCACTTGGAACCTTTTCGCTTTGAACATAAAAATCAAAATATGAGAAATTTTAAGTGCGAAACAGTTCTAAGTTACATTTGATTAAATATCTTGTTTGCCAAGTCTTTCCTAGAATTTTTATTACCATTGACATGTTTCTTTAACTTTTTTATGTGTAAAATCAAAGTGTTGTGGAATTTTGCTATTTTACAAACATTTGAGACAGTTTTTTGCTTCTCCTGTAAAATTTTGGAAAATGCACTTAGAACCTTTTCGCTTTCACCCCTCGGTATGTATTAGAAGATATTCCTTGTAGTATGCACTGTTGCAGAAGAAATGCAGATAAGTTGAGCAGTGTATTGAAATATTCAGAACAGAACATATACTTTATTTGGAATGACTGTTTGACACAGATTACAATATACAAGTATAATGTAATAACATGTGAACAAAATTCACAAAGTAATTTCTTTCTATCTATTGCAGAATTTGGTGAAAAATCTGTTGTATATTTTATTGTGTTTCCTTTTTATATGCCCGAAAGGGCATATTATGTTATACCCCCTGGCGTCCGTCTGTCTGTCCGTCCGTCCGTCCGTCCGTCCGTCCGTTAGCAATTTGGTTTCCGGAGCATAACTTAAGTTCCATTTGGCCCACAATGTTAAAACTTCATAGGATGATTGTCCATATTGGGTAGAAGACCCCTATTGATTTTGGGGTCAAAAGGTCAAAGGTCAAGGTCACTATTACCTTAAAACTGAAAACGGTTTCCGGAGCATAACTTAAGTTCCATTCGTCCCACAATGTTCAAACTTCATAGGATGATTGTCCATATTGGGCAGAAGACCCCTATTGATTTTGGGGTCACAAGGTCAAAGGTCAAGGTCACTATGACCTTGATACTGAAAACAGTTTCCGGAGCATAACTTAAGTTCCAATTGGCCCACAATGTTCAAACTTCATAGGATGATTGTCCATATTGGGTAGAAGACCCCTATTGATTTTGGGGTCAAAAGGTCAAAGGTCAAGGTCACTATTACCTAAAAACTGAAAACTGTTTCCGGAGCATAACTTAAGTTCCATTTGACCCACAATGTTCAAACTTCATAGGATGATTGTCCATATTGGGAAGAAGACCCCTATTGATTTTGGGGTCACAAAGTCAAAGGTCAAGGTCACTATGACCTTGATACTGAAAACAGTTTCCGGAGCATAACTTAAGTTCTAATTGGCCCACAATGTTCAAACTTCATAGGATGATTGTCCATATTGGGTAGAAGACCCCTATTGATTTTGGGGTCGAAAGGTCAAAGGTCAAGGTCACTATTACCTTATAACTGAAAACAGTTTCCAGAGCATAACTTAAGTTCCAATTGACCCACAATGTTCAAACTTCATAGGATGATTGTCCATATTGGGAAGAAGACCCCTATTGATTTTGGGGTCACAGGTCAAAGGTCAAAGTCACTATGACCTTGATACTGAAAACAGTTTCCGGAGCATAACTTAAGTTCCAATTGTCCCACAATGATCAAACTACATAGGATGATTGTCCATATTGGGTAGAAGACACCTATTGATTTTGGGGTCAAAAGGTCAAGGTCACTATTACCTTATAACTGAAAACAGTTTCCAGAGCATAACTTAAGTTCCATTCGACCCACACTGTTCAAACTTCATAGGATGATTGTCCATATTGGGTAGAAGATTCCTATTGATTTTGGGGTCACAAGGTCAAAGGTGAAGGTCACTATTACATTGATACTGAAAAATATGTTTCCACGCATAACTTAAGTTCCATTTGACCCACAATGTTCAAACTTCATAGGATGATTGTCCATATTGGGTAGAAGACCCCTGTTGATTTTGGGGTCAAAAGGTCAAAGGTGAAGGTCACTATTACCTTGATACTGAAAAGAGTTGCCGGAGCATATGTTAAGTTCCATTTGGCCCACAATGTTCAAACTTCATAGGATGATTGTCCATATTGGGTAGAAGACCCTTATTGATTTTGGGGTCAAAAGGTCAACGGTTAAGGTCATCCTTACTAAAAAAAAAAAATACTTTCGGGCATATAATGCTCCGCCTAGCGGTGCTCTTGCTTACTGGTTTACTTTTTGTATTTAATATTTTGTAAATTAGATTTTTTATCAACATTACGGGAAATACTAATTGTATATATTTTAGGTGATGTGCCAGGTGTTATGTATATTGTATATATTTTAGGTGATGTGCCAGGTGTTATGTATATTGTATATATTTTAGGTGATGTGCCAGGTGTTATGTATATTGTATATATTTTAGGTGATGTGCCAGGTGTTATGTATATTGTATATATTTTAGGTGATGTGCCAGGTGTTATGTATATTGTATATATTTTAGGTGATGTGCCAGGTGTTATGTATATTGTATATATTTTAGGTGATGTGCCAGGTGTTATGGATGATGACAGACAACTTTCTAGTGACCTAGAAAAACATCTTAGACTGAACAAAGATGAACCAGTAAGCATATTAAATATTTGAGCCGCGCGTCATGACAAAACCAACATAATGGGTTTGCGACCAGCATGGATCCAGACCAGCCTGCGCATCCGCGCAGTCTGATCAGGATCCATGCTGTTCGCTTACCAACCCTATTACAAGTAGAGGCTTACCAACCCTATTACAAGTAGAGAAACTGATAGCGAACAGCATGGATCCTGATCAGACTGCGCGGATGCGCAGGCTGGTCTGGATCCATGCTGCTCGCAAACGCACTATGTTGGTTTCCCGGGTGTAGATTTTCCGAGGTTTATGAAAAAAACCATGGAAACTGCTTCAAAAACCTTGGAAATAAACCAGTTTTACAAGGTTTTTTCTTAATTCCGAGTTTTTTTTTAAAACCTTGGAAACTTTATCCAAGGTTTTTGTATAAAAATCCTTGGAAATAAAGAAAACCTTGGAAACTATCTCGGAATTAAACACTCTGCCAAAAATCAGCTCGGAAAAAGCTTGGAAATAAGAACTTTGTCATTTTTTTGCTCGGAAAAGAACTTAGAAAATTTACGTAAAATTTGTTGGAAACACTTTGCCAATATTTAGCTTGGAAATGACCTCGGATAATTGAACTTAACAAAATTTCATCTCGGAAAATGTTAAGACATAATCATGATTTAACTTATAATGGGCATCAAAAGCAATAATCAACAGTTAAAGCAAACGAAGATAACAACCCAACTGTAGATTGCCAATGGATATTTCTTAATCAATGGTCAGAGCAAACAATTGTCCAACAGCATGGAAAGGAGAGATTTGGTCCAGGGAATCAGTTTTTAGTATGGACATTGTCAATGGCCAACTTCCTTTTCAATAAATTTGTACTTTAATCTTCTGAAGCCATTTTTGTGGAAGGAATCAATTAAAAAAATTTAAGTGTGAAAACATGGAAAAGTTAAATACAATGTAAATTCCTTGTTGCCATAAAATACCTTTTATTAATGGCTATAAAGGTATTGTAACTAATCATAATAAGATAAAGATTATTCAAATAACTGATGATCAGAAAGACTTGAAAATTTTATTTTTTTTATTTTCATATTTTTTTTTTTATTATTTATAATTATTGTTACTAGATATCTTCTCCATTTTTAAGAAAAGATAAAAAAGCAAAACTTATAATTATACTAAAAGAAACAATCAGTGTTTATGTCTATTAGTTTCTAAATGCATCAGTATTTTTCCTGCAGTTTCTTTCTATATATAGACTTAACTTAGGGTTTCTTGACAGCCTGTAAGCAACACTGAAATAAGAATGCTATTAATCTTTAATATATGTTTTTATGCCATATAAAATAGTATATTCTACTAAGCAAGTCTGTGACATACATTCAGATTACAATTTACTCTGCCATTAATTATGTGTACAATAAACATAAATAGTTATTAATTGTCCTTTTAATATATAATGATGTACAATTAATGTGTAAAATATGTATGCTTGATACTTTCTTATAATTAAGATAAATAAATACTGCATCCACTATTAGTTTTCACACACAGAATATAACACACTGATCAGATAAAACTAATGGCACCCCAGGTGGTTCCTTCTTATAATCTATGCATGATCAATCTTCTCATTGAGCATTCTGGGATAGACCAGATTGTTCCATGTGATTATTCAGGGGGGAGTCTGGGTTTTTATACAATCCAAAACAGTCTAAAATGACACTGCAACTGTGATTCTCTTATAATTTTCAAGTTTTACTTTTATTTATCATTTGATATATTTGTACCTTCAATAAAATTAATGTAAAAATAAAATGATGATGGCTTTGATATTTTGGGATCACCCCTGTTTCACATTATGATTGCCCCTTCAGTTATACTGTTGAAAAATTTGAATCTCAGACATTAATGGGTCAAGTGGTTATAGTTGGAAGTAGTGCAAACCTGGATTTATTTTAAGCAATTTTGGACATATCTTGTTTTAAATGTTAGGGAGCATATTTTGGAATTTTCAAAGAAAACATTTATCTAAGTGTGACAAGATTCAGGAAATGTTGGCTGTTGTAATTGAACCTAAAGATCAATGACCTGGGACAGGAAGATAAACAAAAGAAACATGATAGTAAAAAGGTTCAGGTAAATAATTTTAGATACATTTATGCATAAAATCTGTTGTTGTTTTTATTTTCAAATAAGTATTAAATACAAACTATTTTAGATCTATATTTTTTAACCTAAATGTAAGCTAGTTTAAATACAATTGTTTAGAGGATATTCTATGAGTATTAATATTATTTTTGTCTATGATTGTATTGAACAAGATGAGTGCATGAAACTATGATGACATTATTTATAAACTTTCATCTTTCATCTATTATTTGAATCTACAAATTTTTAATTACAGAGTCAGCTTGTAAGCAAGTTTGCAAGACTGTTCCAAACTACAAGAAGATGGCAAATCCAGCTTTGCTGTGTTTTATCATAGTATATCATTGGCATCCAGGCATCGATTAAGGAAAGCCAACTGTAGACCAGGAAAGGCTTCAAGGAATATACTACAGTATGTTTTGTTTTAAAACTAGGTTTTGAAAGTTTCAATTTGAAATTTGAATGAATGAAGGTTTCTGGAACTGATTTTTTTATTGTTGGAAATGCTATTAATGTTACATGATGACTCTCCAGCTTTAATGATGCAGATGTCACTTTGAGCAGACAGATACAATTAGTGTAGGCAATCGGAATCACCTTATGTTCAAAAGCGTTATTTTTTGCAATATTTTTAGAGTGCTTTAGTTTGTAAGATCCAGTATGACATACATGGGTGCAAGTTTTCAGGCATATGCCTGAAGTTCAGGTTTTTTGTGACAAATTTTATCATGTTTTACTATTAGATTATGTAGAAAAATGATTATTAATAAAGGTTTTCAGGTTTTTCCAAATTTTCAACTTGCACCCATGGACATAATCTAAAATAATAGTAACAGACATTGTTTCTTTTCTTAACATTGCAGAATTGTCACACTGCTTACCAAAGTTTTCTTGAAATCCTGACACTAAGTACTGATGAAGAAAAATAAGAAATCAACATGAAAAAAATTAAATTCACTACATGTATTTCAAAACAGTAGACAAACATTTAAAAGTAACTACAGAAAAGGTCATTTGAAAATATTAAAGCCTTCATTTTAATCAATGGTCTTGAACAACTTGTAATTCAAGTAGTTTTGGATCACTCAAAAGATGTTTTTCTTTTCACAAAAGTGCTGATTTTTTAAAACAATATATATCAACAGTGAACTGATATTTTTGTCTATGGAAACGTTTAAGGAATGTATTATTTTTTTTATTGATTAATAAAAAAGAAATTAAATGATGTAATTCTGATTGCCTACACATACTGAACTGTCCTGAGTATAACCACAGGTGTTCCTTAATCCTGGGCTGGATAGCTCCCTCAGAGGGAAGAAGCCCATCCTGGCTTCAGGAGTCAAAAATACAATGTTGTAAGGCAAGTAGTTTGAAGTCTTTGATCCTGACACATGGAGAGGGAAGCGCCCAATGGAGAGGGAAGCGCCCAGTGGTGATTTTATATAATTGTTTTTCTAACTTCTTTCAATGGCTGTACTTTATTAAATGTTTACTTTATTTATTTCAGGAATTGTATCCTGGAGCATTTTCCACATGCGACCCCTGTGATGGTGAGGGAAAAACTAAGGGACATTTAAAAATCATGAAGAGTGAACAGGAATTCAAAAGATAGATATTTGAATACATTAAAATTTAACCGGATACCAAAATATTATAACTGAACATTTGAGTGTAATATTTACCATTAAAGACTTCTAACTTAACTTTTCATTTGTAGTGCATTACTATTTTACTTCACACTGACATTAAATGTTTCAGTGAGTCATGTGATCATTTTTTGCTCTGTATTATTACAAAGAAGTTTCTTAATTCCTTAAAAGGACAATATAATTGCTCTTTTCAGAATATTTGATTGGATGTTATATTTTCTGATTTTCCATGGATATTCTAGAAATTTACAAGGTTTTTGCTCAAATAAACCTTGGAAAATTCTCTGATGCCCTTAAGTAAGAATCCTCGAAAATATAACAGTATTCCCAGTTGTGAGAAACTTTCCGAGGTTTTCATTTAAAAACCTTGGAAAACAAACACGGAAACACTTTAAAAATCCTTGGAAATCGTTCCAATACTCCGAGGTCACTCATTTTCCAAGGTTTTCTAAACAAAATCCTCGGAAATTATTTTACGAGGTTTTTATTCTGAAATCCTTGGAAATCGTTCCAATACTCCGAGGTCATACTTTTTACGAGGTTTTTTTTTAAAAAAAACTCGGAAATTTTTTACAAGGTTTTTCACCCTCTCCCTATTTTTCCAAGGTTTTTTTAATAGCAAAGTTTTGCATTTTCTTGTTCCAATACTCCGAGGTTTTTTTCCAAGGATTTTGAGCCAAAAACCTTGGAAAATCTACACCCGGGCTTGTCGTGACGTGGCTCATTTTGTGTTGTACATTGAGTATCTATTTCAATACCTAGTCAAAACATGTACAGTGTTGAACTTTAAAAGTGATTTGTGTTCCAAATTACATACATCACAATGTGTTATGTTCATCAGATCAAGATTGATTCCCCCTTTTTAATTTTTTCCTTTTAATTTTTTTTTTTCCTAGTAAAATTTTTTCTTTTTAAGCGATTGACATTTGGGCTTTATATATTATTTTTTTTTTTAAAACGGACCCCCATAGCGTCATAAATGAAATCCCCGTCAGCTGCAAAATTTAACCGATAACCAACTTTTACTTTTAAACTGTTAAAAAGTTTGGGGCTACCAAAGGGCCTTTCTGGTTTTTGGCGAAAATTTGCCAAAACCTTTTTCCTTTATTTTTCAGGTCAAATGCTCACCCAAAAAAAATATCAAAAAACAAACCATGTGTTTTTTGGGGGAACCAGGTCAACCCAGTGACTATGTATTTGTTCAACAAAAATTTACCCGGGACCTTTTGCATTTGACCCCGTAGTTTTTGGTAAAAAAATTTCCCTAAAGTTTTGCACGATCTACTTGTAAATCAATATGAATGTAAATATCAAATTGTTAAAATGGTGTAAATTAAAATTCCCTCTTAGCACAGTTGGTAAAGAGTTTTCAATTGAAGAATGTAAACGTAGACTCGTAGGTTCGAATCCTATTTCAGCAAATTTTTATTTAAAGGGATATTTAGGCAAAATAATGACAAAAATATTAAAATGATCTTTTGTACTCAACTCGCACTAAAATGACATTTCTAAAAGTTTCAGCATGAATTTCTCTTTAAATTCTATATATTTTGGATTTGAAACATGAATATATCTATTTATGTTGAACAAAATTTAGACGCCAATAGAATCACCGAATAGTTTTAAAACAAGTCAGGTGACCTGAACAAATCCTTGAAGTTACATTAACAGATACTGTGGATATTGTATGATTGAAACAAGTCAAAATCATTCATTTGGCATGTTCTTTAACGTTTCCAGAGTTCACTGTGACAACTATTGTGAAATCCTAGCGCTAGGAAACCACCATTTTAGTCTTTATATGGAGAAAAGTTTTGTTCCTTTGACTGTCTAATATATTCATTTCGAGGGCATTTACAGAATTAGGAATGAAAAAATTCAAAACTAAGAAATGGAAAATTTGCCTGTGTCTCCCTTTAATTTTGAAATTGCCATTCTCTTGAAACTATTTAAAACCTTTTTATTGTGTGTACTACCTATGTATAATTTTAAAAAAAACTGCCTTTATAGCATTTTGAGCTTAAGCATATACGATTTCATAATGTCACAAAAAGAACCATTGAAAGACACTGTAATGAAATTAAAGACATAATTTAGCATAAAGACATCACTTAAAAGGTATTCTAAAACAAGGTGTAGTAAAACGATTTCAAATTGATTCTTGCGATTAAATTTTTTTTTAAAATCATAACATGGTGTTGGTAAGGTATCGAACCAGAGACATTCAGATCGGTAGTCCGACATCTAAACCAATACACCACACAATGACGAGTGAAGTTAGCAAATATATCGATATATTCGATAGGTAATGGTCAATGTTTATTCATATGACCTTTCCGAAAATTAATGAAGTGCCAGGTCAATATTGTTGGACAATATCTCAGTGTAGCAATTGGATAACAAGTTAGCCAATTTACATAAATCTGTAGTTACACGAGAAAGGCCCATTGGTCAGTATAATGCTATAATGCTGTGTACTATTTCTTGAAGAGTTATCTCTTCTTCAAATTTAGAAATTTGGTTTAAAAATTTTATTGTGATTAATTTATTTGTATCTGTTGGGTTTATTTCAGACTTTGTCAGTCATTTTTAACATAATACAGCACAGAAATTTTTGATCACACTTTCTGTTTAACTGTCATAGTTATGCATGTTATATGTTGCAAAAAAGTTGGAGCTTCTGAAATTATTCTTAATATTGAAGTAAAACTATATTGATTATTATTCATTTTTTCATAGTTTTGTCTTTAAATCATTCTGTAATTACTCAGTCAAGCTTGCTGTCTCTTTGACATATTATGATATTATACTCACAGTATTTAAGTGATTTTATGATGGTAATTTACTTTGGTTATATTGTGTGATAGATGGAGGAACAAGAGTTGATGGTGAGAAGGGGACCAGATGGACATCTTGTTATAAAGAAAGAAAATGAAGGCCAGCCGTGTGCTGGACACCAAGGTATTGGTCTAGGCTTTGGATTTAATATGCCAACAAACAGTAGCTACACAAGCTCCGCCTACACAAGCTCCGCCCAGCATGCAAGTGGTGTTTCTCCATTGGTACGTCCAGAGAGTAATAATGTACCTTGGGCAATTCCCTCAAACCCTGGATCATGGAGACATGATGATTCAATGTCTTCATTTGACCTTGAAATGGATAAAGAGCCATCAATGACACCATTTAGTCAAGTCATGTCTCCACCAAACATACAGGAATATACAAAAGCTGGGATTGATTCACATTTTGGTTATCGTGGAGATACTGATTTCAATCAAAAGAAGTATATGCATGAAAATAATTTACGTAGATACGCTGGTGATGAAAGTGAAAATGCAACAAACCAACAACATCAGCTATGGCAGCAGAACATTCAACATCAACAGGCAGCTGTTACACCTGATACTGGGGGTTTTGAGGAGATTTATACATTTGAACTTGATGAGTTTGGAGAAGGGTAAGTTGTTAGAGATAAATAAAGATATAATCATATACTTTATAAAAAACAAAATTATCAATTTTGTTCCTATTTTGATGAGTTTTTAATAAAAGTTTGAAATATATACATAAATAGATATTGAAGAATTATAGATATTGTTGTGATTGTTGTTTTTATAGAGGATATTTGTTTGTTTTAGTGGAAATGATATGATACATATCACACTAAGATATGATATATATCTCACTATGATATGATATATATCTCATAATGAAGTGAGAAAATTACAATACACATATTTTATAAGCATTAATCATATAACTAAATCAAAGCACAGAAGGCGCTGAATTTGTTTGGGTCTCAGATTGTCAGAAAGGTGAAGGTTGTGAGATTATAAACCAATTTGTTTTTTTTAAAGTGCCATCATTTATTATGCTTTCCAGTGTTTTAACTGTGAGTAAAATGGCTATAAGACTAATTGCAACACTGATATTCTATTCAATGTTTATTTGACTTAAAACAATTAAAAAAAAATTGACTTGCCTTAACTGGGATTTGAACTCCAGACCTCTCGATTCCTAAGCATGCGTGCAAACCCCTCGGCCACGGTGAAGTTATATGTTAACAGCCTGAAGAAAACCATATCATTTTAAAATAGGGTTTGTAATACTTCTTATTTCGACGCTAAACCTGTTGTTTAACACAGATGTAAATAATCATGGAGCTTACTATAAGCATGTATATCTATAAAGAATAAAACAATATTAGAAATCTTCGACCATTCGGGAACTATTTTGCTTGAAAATAAATGCTCCTGTCATTTGACAATCTTTACGCAGTGATCTTCCCTGAATTTTTCGGCGTTAGTGTACATATAAAGGGAAGTAACTGCTTCAAAAAAGCCGACTACTTTCGGCATTTGCAATTAACAGCATCAGGGTCTGAAATTTCGCTACCATTATTTGTTTGGTCTGACGATCCAAACAGATAAAAACTGGAAAATGATGTCAGGCATATAAGGCTGAGTGAAAATTGCACGAACAAAAAAATTACAGTTTATATACTTGTCATTGTATTGTAGATTATATAAAAGTAATAAAACTTTATGTGCTGGTCAATGCATTTAGAATTATAACAAAGAAATTATAATTTATACTTGTTATTGCATTGTAGATTATACAAAAGTAATCAATTCAAATTTTTTATGTTTACATTACTCTATCATGAAATTGATTGCCACATCAAATAAAAGTTTGGCAAAGTTCACTCACAGTATATAATATTTTGTGATTTATTTATGAGCCGCGTCATGACAAAACCAACATAGTGGGTTTGCGACCAGCATAGATCCAGACCAGCCTGCGCATCCGCGCAGTCTGATCAGGATCCATGCTGTTCGCTTACAAACCCTGTTACAAGTAGGGAAACTGATAGTGAACAGCATGGATCCTGATCAGACAGGGCAGATGCGCAGGCTGGTTTGGATCCATGCTGGTTGCAAACGCATTACGTTGGTTTTGTCATGACACGGCTCAATTATTTGTTTAGTTTACAGAGTATCTTATGGTTAGTATTATGTATAGATAATTTTATTCTTCAGGCCTTTACACACATTGTCAGCAGTTTCGGATGAGTTAACATTAAGAGAATCGATAAAAATGCTTCAAACTTGTAATGTTGTCAAACAGTGTATCAACCTTCAAAATAAGCTGAAACAGGTAATCAGTATTAAATATTTAACTACTGCATGTTATATATCAAATATCAAAACTATTTGTTGTGAATCTGAGACAATTTTGGAGTTGTCTAAAGACTTATAGCTGACTTAAGTTTGGAATATAGATATCTTCTTGTAGATGTACAGGCCTGTTTTTACAGTGCAGGATAGTGAGATGGAAACTATTTCAAGCAATGTCTCCTAAATTTTAATCCCAGTACTATTTTCTTACCATGTTCATTTCATATTTTCATATACAAATACTACAATTTTGTATATTATTTTGGTCCCTCATTATTTGCATGAGTGCCCCTTATAATTTCATTCTGTAGACTCCTGTGTTGACCAGCATGTCTTGTTCTACTGTAAACTACACTCATTATACATGTATAAAATGGTATAATAAAAAACATGACAGACTAGACTATGTTTATAAAAATAGATTTCTAAGTATCATTGTTGCAGAATACTTTTATAAAAGTTGTTCATGATGTTTACATTACAGACTCCATTATTTTTGTCTGTGTTACAAAAGAACACTGCACTCATCAACTGGTTGCTGGAAAATGGAGCTGATCCAAACATCCAGGGAACTGTAAGCTTTATCTTTAATATAGTAATACTTAACTTCTATAGTTTAATAATGCAGGTGCTATAACAACATCATTGTTTTTTTCATAAAAGATTAACGCATACATACATGTACTCATATAAATGTAAACCTAAATAAGTTGGTGTTTTGAGGGCATGCGGTTTACCCACAGGCCATGATAAGTATGTTTGTATGCATTTCAGCTGTACGCAGTCCATGAGTAGTTGATTTGTATGTTCTTTAGCTGTATGCAGTCCATGATTAGTCGATTTGTATGCATTTCAGCTGTACACAATCCATGATTAGTCAATTTGTATGTACATCAGCTGTACACAGTCCATGATTAGTCTATTTGTATGTACTTCACCTGTACGCACTCCATGATTAGTCTATTTGTATGTACTTCACCTGTACGCACTCCATGATAAGTCGATTTGTATGTACTTCACCTGTACGCACTCCATGATTAGTCTATTTGTATGTACTTCACCTGTACGCACTCCATGATAAGTCGATTTGTATGTACTTCACCTGTACGTACTCCATGATTAGTTGATTTGTATGTACTTCAGCTGTCACACTCCATGATTAGTTGATTTGTATGTACTTCAACTGTACTTACTCCATGATTAGTTGATTTGTATGTACTTCAGCTGTACGTAGTCCATGATTAGTTGATTTGTATGTACTTCAGCTGTACGCACTCCATGATTAGTTGATTTGTATGTACATCAGCTGTACACAGTCCATGATTAGTTGATTTGTATGTACTTCAGCTGTACGTACTCCATGATTAGTTGATTTGTATGTACTTCAGCTGTAGGTACTCCATGATTAGTTGATTTGTATGTACATCAGCTGTACACAGTCCATGATTAGTCGATTTGTATGTACTTCAGCTTTACGCACTCCATGATTAGTCGATTTGTATGTACTTCAGCTGTACTCAGTCCATGATTAGTCGATTTGTATGTACTTCACCTGTACGCAGTCCATGATTAGTCTATTTGTATGTACTTCAGCTGTACGCAGACCATGTTGAGAACATTTGTATATATTTCAACTTTACATTAGTACATTTGTATATATTTCAGCTTTACATTAGTACATTTGTATAGTATATATTTCAGCTATACATTAGTATATTTGTATATATTTCAGTTATACATTAGTATATTTGTATATATTTCAGCTGTACATTAGTACGTTTGTATATATTTCAGCTGTACATTAGTATGTTTGTATATATTTCAACTTTACATTAGTACATTTGTATATATTTCAGCTTTACATTAGTACATTTGTATAGTATATATTTCAGCTATACATTAGTATATTTGTATATATTTCAGTTATACATTAGTATATTTGTATATATTTCAGCTGTACATTAGTACATTTGTATATATTTCAGCTATACATTAGTACATTTGTATATATTTCAGCTGTACATTAGTACATTTGTATATATTTCAGCTGTACATTAGTACATTTGTATTTATTTCAGCTGTACATTAGTACATTTGTATATATTTCAGTTGTACATTTGTATATATTTCAGCTGTGCATTAGTACATTTGTATATATTTCAGTTGTACATTAGTACATTTGTATATATTTCAGTTGTACATTAGTACATTTGTATATATTTTCAGCTGTACACAGATCGTGATGAATATATCTGGAGATCTCCTCTTCACCTGGCAGCAATGAAAGGGGATGATTGGTTGTGTGTCCTGCAGATGATCTTAAAATCTCCATTAACCAACATTAACCTGTTTAGTTATGGTGATAGTATGTAAACATTTTATTTCAACATGTTTTGAACAGAGTTTATCACATTTTGGCATATAAATACAAGAAGAGCTAGTTTATGATACTACTGTTGCTTGAGAAGCTTTAAGTTGTGTCTGTTTCTGGTACGTACTTCGCCTAATTATTAAGCCTGGTTGTGATATACATGTATCTCACTGAATTTTCTGTAAGATTACTGTTCTTATGACTAGTAGTATTAAGTATTACTATTTCGAATCATTATACGTAAACAGCATGCTCTTAGCAATAAAGTATTTCAATAAAATTCTGCAGTTGAAAATGTAATTAAGATTTAAGATAAGAAAGTAAAAAGATTCAAGATTTAAGTAATTATTTACATGTTAATACTTATATGTGATTTGATAATAATTGATTTTTCACTTTTATAACCTTATTTTTACTGCATTTCTAATGCAGTAAAAGCTATTTTTTAATACATTGATCTCCTTTTACTTGGGTTGTGAGTGCTGTTTGTACTGTGTTAATTGCTTCTGTTTGGTTACTTCACTGTATTTTACTTTAAGATTCATTCTCAAAATTTTCATGAAAATTAGCATAAATCTATAATTATCTGTACTGCTTCAAAATTAAATTTCAACTATAAACTAATGGAATGTTACATTACAGTTTTATTCAGATTTTTTTTTGCATTTGTATTAACAGAGTTATCTGCCCTGCATTTGGCCTTGAAATGTCATGGTAACAACATAAGCTGTAGAAATATAATACTGGAGTTGGTCAATAAAGGAGCTGATATAAGTGTCAGGGTAAGGTCATGTCACATGGCAAAAATGTTTCTATAGTTTATGTTATGTTTACAATCTTGTTATTGTTACTATATAGTATGCTTTATATATATTTTAAAGGTGACAAATTCATGATATGATAGTTATTGTTTTATAAGGAATATAATTTAATGATATCACAACATGAGGTTTGGGTTAAGGTCTAATCTACAGAAGAAATGACAAAATAATATAAACTTTATTAGAACTTACTGCATTTACAGTTTACATATTGTAAAAACTGTGACTGACAGATAACTGCACTCTTAAAATACCACATTGTTCTGCAAAATAGGATGGGCACAAATTTTACCAAAATTTTACTTGATGACTGCTTAGTGTTCATGACTTTGGATTTTTAAATTGAGGACAATATCAAAGGTTTTTTAACTAGGCATAGATGTCTACCAATCAAGACGATGTGTCGTGTGCAAGAATCATGTCCCTACCTCAAAGGTCAAGGTCACACTTCCATTTTGAAGTTCACTTTATCACAATTAGAGTTATAGGTACACACATTCGTGTCCGGACTGTAACTTTGTCATGCATCGCAGAATTTTAAAATAACTAGGCATAAATGTCTACCACATCAAGTCGACATGTGGCTTCTAAGACCCATGTCCCTATCTCAAAGGTCAAGGTCACACTTTTAGTTTAAAGGTTCACACTATCACAATTAGAGGAAATAGGAACACACATTTGTGTCCAGACTATAACTTTGTCATGCATTGAAGAGTTTTAAAATAACTTGGCACAAATGTCTACCACATCAAGATGACGTACTGTGTGTAAGACCCATGTTCATACTTCCAAACTAAAGGTCACTTCAAAAATTTTAAAGGTACTTATGCGCATAAGAAGAGTTTGAAAGTACACATTAGTTTCCAAACTGTAACATTGTCATGCATAGAAGCTTTTTAAATAGCCACATCAAGACGATGTGTCACATCCAAGACTCTTTTTCCCAAGGTGTTAGTTTGCTATAAATAGCACTTCATTTCACAAGAACAATATAAAGCAATAAGTTCCTTTCATTCTTTTTTCTTTTCTTAATACGTGCATGCTTTAGAAACCTTTTCAGGGGCATTCGTCACTTGCGTGACAGCTCTTGTTTACTGATATAGCTATTCCGTCAGCATATCAGAATATCAATAATTTTGATGTTTTATGACTTTTTGTCATTATAATGTCATAATTCACTTGTATTGTACTTGGGTATTTTACATATAGGAACAGGCCAGCAGTAAATCACCATTTATGTTGGCATTGGAAACACGTGATCTCAACTTAGTGCAAGAATTCCTAAACATGTTCCCTGCTGACAGACGTAGAGCAATTCTACAAGAACAGACACGTTCAGGAGATACATGCCTACATATTGCTGCAGGATTATCAAGAATTAGCTCACAGGATAAAGAAAGGTTACTTAGGTTTCTTGTTATACAGGGAGCTAATGGAAATGTTACAAATAATGTCAAAGAACTACCTAGAGACTTTGCTAGAAAAGAGGTAAGCTTTATATTACTCTTGCCGGTCACATATATCAGTTTAACTTCAGTATACAATTTTTTTTTTATCTTTTATTTTTTATTTTTTATTAGCTCACCTGTCACAAAGTGACAGGGTGAGCTTTTGTGATCGCTTTTCGTCCGTCGTCCGTCCGTCCGTCCGTTAACTTTTAGTTTAAATGACATCTCCTCATAAACCATCAAGCCAATTTCATCCAAACTTCACATGAATGTTCCTTTGGTGGTCACCTTTGAAAATTGTTCAAAGAATTTAATTCCATGCATAACTCTGGTTGCCATGGCAACCAAAAGAAAAAACTTTAAATATCTTCTTCTAAAAAATCCAAAGAGCTAGAGCTTAGATAGTTGGCATGAAGCATCTTCTAGTGAGTGTCTACCAAGTTTGTTCAAATAAAAGCCCTGGGGTCAAAATTGGCCCCGCCCCAGGGGGTCATTGATTTTCCCAATATGCATATAGTAAAACCTTAAAAAATCTTCTTTAAAAGGACCCAAAGACCTATAGCTAAGATATTTAGCATGAAACATCCTCTAATGGGTGTCTACCAAGTTTGTTCAAATAAAAGCCCTGGGGTCAAAATTGGCCCCGCCCCAGGGGGTCATTGATTTTCCCTATATGCATATAGTAAAAACTTAAAAAATCTTCTTTTAAAGAACCCAAAGAGCTAGAGCTTAGATATTTAGCATGAAACATGTTCTAATGGATGTCTACCAAGTTTGTTCAAATAAGAGCCCTGGGGTCAAAATTGGCCCCGCCCCAGGGGGTCATTGATTTTCCCTATATGCATATAGTAAAAACTTAAAAAATCTTCTTGTAAAGAACCCAAAGACCTAGAGCTCAGATATTTAGCATGAAACATCCTCTAATGGGTTTCTACCAAGTTTGTACAAATAAAAGCCCTGGGGTCAAAATTGGCCCTGCCCCAGGGGGTCTTTGATTTTCCCTATATGCATATAGTAAAAACTTTAAAAAATCTTCTTTTAAAGAACCCAAAGAGCTAGAGATAAGATATTTAGCATGAAACATGTTCTAATGGATGTCTACCAAGTTTGTTCAAATAAGAGCCCTGGGGTCAAAATTGGCCCTGCCCCGGGGGTCATTGATTTTTCTTTTATGTGTATAGCAAAAACTTAAAAAATCTTCTTTGAAAAAAACAAATAGCTAGAGTTTAGATACTAAGTTTGAAACATCTTCTAGTGAGTGTCTACCAAGTTTGTTGTAATAAAAGCCCTGGGGTCAAAATTGGCCCCGCTCCGGGGGTCATTCATTTTCCTTATATGTGTATAACAAAAACTTAAAAAATCTTCTTTAAAAAAAACTCAAATAGCTAGAGTTTAGATATTATAAGCACGAAGCATTTCCTAGTGAGTGTCTACAAAGTTTGTTCAAATAAAAGCCTTGGGTCAAAATTGGACCCGCCCCGGTGACATTGATTTTCCTTATATGTGTATAGCAAAAACTTAAAAATCTTCTTTGGAAAAACCCGAATAGCTAGAGTTTAGATATTAAGCATGAAACATTTTCTAGTAAGTGTCTACAAAGATTGTTCAAATAAAAGCCCTTGGGTCAAAACTGGCCCTGCCCTAGGTGTGTCATTGTTTTTAACTATATGTGTAAAGAAAAAACTTTACCAGCTAGACCTTAGATGTTTAGCATGAAACATCTTCTAATGGGTGTCTACCAAGTTTTTTCAAATAAAAGCCCTGGGGTTTAAACTGGCCTCGCTCTGGGGGCCTATATACAGGTGAGCGACTTCAGGGCCATCATGGCCCTCTTGTTTATTTTCAGTATACAATATAAGCAGTAAAAGAATTACAGATTTTTTACTTAGGGTTAACCTATTACAGTCATATGACTTAAAAACCAATGTAGAACTGTTTTTATCATCATGTAAGTTAGAAAAATACTGGTAGATAGGGTGTTTCCTACATAAACTAAAAATTGTGTAATTAAGAATAAAATGTGAATAAATGATTTATCTTATAATAACCTTCATACAGCTAATATATTCTTATACTGAAAACAACATACATGTATACCAGACAAGGTAGCTATAATAGAAAAAATAGTATAATGTCATTGACTTTATTTTTTGTCATATTTCAGTGGGATAACATCCGTAAAACATGATATAATTTCTGTGAAGTAACCAGGATATGATGTTAATAGAAACAGCAACAATATCATCTGTTGTACAACATTGTATACACAGTTATGTCTCCAACCTGAAATTTCTTTATCGTGATGATAGTGAAACCATCAGTGGTATAAATGATATAAATGATACAATCCTTCTATGTTTCTACAGATCTACAATCATTATAACAAGTTTTCATGTTGTTATAAGAGTCTACTTGCTCTATGTGAAGATTTTGTAGATTTCATTCCAGAATGAAGTATTTTACAAAAATAACTTTATTTATATTAAATAATGAATAAAGTAGGTGAGGAACACACGTACAACACCAGGTCATTTTTAAAAAGTTTTTATTGGCTACTAGTTTCGAGTAATACAATACTCTTCATCAGGCTTAAAAAAATATCAAATTCTAACTACTGAAGTACTGTTATTTAGGGATACTTTTTTGTGTTTTGTTACTATAAATAGAAGTATTGTTGCTAATAATAGATATAGTTTTGGCACTGTTCCAACGAGTTTATCATTGAGTATATCATGTATATTGTTTGAATAAAAATGATCAAAAGTTAATTATGCTTTGTTTAATAATCCATTAATCTGTCCAATGTTTATAATGAGTTCGTTTGTTTCACTAAACATACCATGCTTATTATGCATATGTTTATTTATATTAGAAAATATTACTTAGATGAATTTGCTGTGCATAACAAGATGAAATCTGTAACTTTTATGAAATGTTCATTTTATAAGATGTATATTTTTTTCAAATGTATTCTTGGTTTGTGAGATTATATCTATATTTTACTTGTGTTACATTAGTAGGAGTTTTACTTTATATTTTAATGTATAATGTACACTATGTAGGGCAATGCTTGCACAGGTGCAACTGTCTGAACTTGATGTAACTTGTATATAAGCTTTGACAATATGTACAAACTGTGAGACTGACTTATTGAATATTAATGTTTAATTATGTACAGTACTGAACAATTTCAGGACATGTGTTTCAAGATTCAAAAAACTGAATCTCTGTCTTTGTAACAGATAGCTAACATTAAATTTTATAAACTTTTACTGTAACACAAACATTCCAAAACTAATAATTCCTATAAAATTTGGACAATGGCTATTACCAAAGTACTGTATTTGAAGACATAATTATGTTTATTTTTCTTCATGACATATTTGCTGTAAATTTTTCTGCATAACTTATGTCACTATTTTGGTAGAAACTTAATATTAACTTTTGGGAAACATACATGCATGTGTTTGTATACTGTTAAAACAAGCCACTAAACTGTAGTGTAATAAAATATCAAAATTATGCTGATGGCATGTTAATTTTTTATTCATGTTAAACTAAAAAGGCATAGTGATTTACTTTTTTATTGTTAACCAATTAAGGCACTATAAGAAATGTTGTTCATGAACTGTTAAGTAGACAACACATGTTATGTAGAAACGATTATATAACATGTGGTTAGTTTTATAGTTTGTTAATGATGCTTTGTTATATTGTATATTTGTATTACTGTACTTGTAATGTTACTTTTTATATTTTACATTGGAAAAAATGAAGCAAGCACTCACTGTGATAAATACAATGCTTCAACCTGAACCTGAAAATAATGATGATACCTTGTACACAGATCATGTGTTACTTTATCACGTTTTATATAATACCTAGTTGCAAAGTAAGATGATGTCTAATTCACCAGTTTTACAGTACTGTGTTCCTACAATTTAGTTCTAATGCCGTTAACCTCCAAGCTACAGGTTATACAATAACTAGTTCTAATGCCGTTAAGCTCCCATCTCCAGGTTATACAATAACTAGTTCTAATGCTGTTAACCTCCTAGCTACAGGTTATACAATAACTAGTTCTAATGCTGTTAACCTCCCAGCTACAGGTTATACAATAACTAGTTCTAATGCCGTTAACCTCCCAGCTCCAGGTTATACAATAACTAGTTCTAATGCTGTTAACCTCCCAGCTACAGGTTATACAATAACTAGTTCTAATGCTGTTAAGCTCCTAGCTCCAGGTTATACAATAACTAGTTCTAATGCTGTTAACCTCCCAGCTCCAGGTTATACAATAACTAGTTCTAATGCTGTTAACCTCCCAGCTCCAGGTTATACAATAACTAGTTCTAATGCTGTTAAGCTCCCAGCTACAGGTTATACAATAACTAGTTCTAATGCTGTTAACCTCCCAGCTACAGGTTATACAATAACTAGTTCTAATGCTGTTAACCTCCCAGCTACAGGTTATACAATAACTAGTTCTAATGCTGTTAACCTCCTAGCTACAGGTTATACAATAACTAGTTCTAATGCTGTTAACCTCCCAGCTACAGGTTATACAATAACTAGTTCTAATGCTGTTAACCTCTCAGCTCCAGGTTATACAATAACTAGTTCTAATGCTGTTAACCTCCCAGCACCAGGTTATACAATAACTAGTTCTAATGCCGTTAACCTCCCAGCTACAGGTTATACAATAACTGGTTCTAATGCTGTTAAGCTCCCAGCTCCAGGTTATACAATAACTAGTTCTAATGCTGTTAACCTCCTAGCTCCAGGTTATACAATAACTAGTTCTAATGCTGTTAACCTCCCAGCTCCAGGTTATACAATAACTAGTTCTAATGCTGTTAACCTCCCAGCTCCAGGTTTATACTATAACTAGTTCTAATGCTGTTAAACTCCCAGCTTCAGGTTATACTATAACTAGTTCTAATGCCGTTAACCTCCCAGCTTCAGGTTATACTATAACTAGTTCTAATGCTGTTAACCTCCCAGCTCCAGGTTATACTATAACTAGTTCTAATGCTGTTAACCTCCCAGCTCCAGGTTATACTATAACTAGTTCTAATGCTGTTAACCTCCTAGCTTCAGGTTATACTATAACTAGTTCTAATGCTGTTAACCTCCCAGCTCCAGGTTATACTATAACTAGTTCTAATGCTGTTAACCTCCCAGCTCCAGGTTATACTATAACTAGTTCTAATGCTGTTAAACTCCCAGCTTCAGGTTATACTATAACTAGTTCTAATGCTGTTAACCTCCCAGCTCCAGGTTATACTATAACTAGTTCTAATGCTGTTAACCTCCTAGCTTCAGGTTATACTATAACTAGTTCTAATGCTGTTAAACTCCCAGCTTCAGGTTATACTATAACTAGTTCTAATGCTGTTAACCTCCCAGCTCCAGGTTATACTATAACTAGTTCTAATGCTGTTAACCTCCCAGCTCCAGGTTATACTATAACTAGTTCTAATGCTGTTAAACTCCCAGCTTCAGGTTATACTATAACTAGTTCTAATGCTGTTAACCTCCCAGCTCCAGGTTATACTATAACTAGTTCTAATGCTGTTAACCTCCCAGCTCCAGGTTATACTATAACTAGTTCTAATGCTGTTAACCTCCCAGCTCCAGGTTATACTATAACTAGTTCTAATGCTGTTAACCTCCCAGCTCCAGGTTATACTATAACTAGTTCTAATGCTGTTAAACTCCCAGCTTCAGGTACTACTCCTCTATATGACATGAAGGATTCTGTAGTGTAATATGATGTCATTATATTGTAATAAAGATAAAATACTATAGTTTATCAAATTGTACCCTGTGTTATATATAGGAATAAATTGAAAGACGGCAGCAGAATATATATAATACATTAGTAACTTGACATACTTAGTTCTGATTACAATCATGATTGTATAATAATTTGTAAGTTTGAGCATTTGTGTTGAAAGAAAGACAAATGAAAATGTTTGTTGTTATTTCCTTCCATACATTAAAGCTGCATTTTAGAAATTTCATGATTATAACAGTAATATCTACATTTCATTAATAAAATTGGGTTCATATCAACTCTTGTTTTTATTTTGGTGTCAAGACAACCAATAAGTTTTATAGTCGTACATGTTTGCAAACTCATTATGACAAAATCAAAAGTACAATAACTGTTAGCACAAGATAGGTCGCACAATAGCTCAGTTGGTTAAACTACTGACTGCCACTCCTGAGGTTCCGTGCTCAATCATGGGATTTGTAAGAGACACTATCAGTGTTTCCCACCTACCTAGAGGTATACTGGTATGAAACCAAGGTCATCATCACATGTTTCAGTGCTATTTCATTTGGCATGAAATAGAACCAAGGAGTCTATTCAATAAGAGCTAGGGATTGGTTCCCGGATTTCCTTGTATCTCATATCTGTCTCTGAAGTCTGCTGAGGTAAAGACCCTACTGGAAATAAATGCTTGCATTTTCAAAGGTTATCCTTGACGGCCCGGTCTAAAGAAATGCAATTATTCAACTCCGCCTTCAGGCCTCCAAACATCAAAAGAAAAAAAAACATTCATGGCTATATATATAAGTAGTATTCCAAATACTTATATAATGTATTTTATATAATGGATGTTTTCATACAAATTTGATCTTCATTTACTACATGATTACATTTTTGTAAACAAAAGGCTTAGTGTACAGCAGCTATAATGGTAAAAGTTTGTTTGCACACCAAGATTAGATGGGATAACTACCATATTTGCCATGTTCCAGATATCAAAAGTTTAACACTGTGATGTTTCACTTGCCTGTGTCATTTGCTAGCTAATTATAGTCTTTTGTACACAAACACAAGCTCCTTTTAGTTTACTGTACACATAAACAAGCATCTTATAGTATACTGTTCACATACACTAGCTACTATAGTCTACTGTTCACATACACTAGCTACTATAGTCTACTATACACATACGCTAGCTAATTATAGTCTTCAGTGCACATACACAAGCTAATTATAATCTTCTGTTCACATACACTAGCTAATTATAATCTTCAGTGCACATGCATTAGCTGATTATTTTATTCTGTGCACATACACAAAATAATTATAGTCTTCTGTGCACATAAGCACCTCATACACTGGTAATTATAGTCTTCTGTTCACATACACTAGCTACTTATAGTCTACTGTGCACATACACTAGCTAATTATAGTCTTCTGTTCACATACACTAGCTAATTATAGTCTACTGTGCACATACACTAGCTACTTATAGTCTACTGTGCACATACACTAGCTAATTATAGTCTACTGTGCACATACACTAGCTAATTATAGTCTTCTGTTCACATACACTAGCTACTTATAGTCTACTCAACAGTGCACATACACTAGCTACTTATAGTCTTCTGTTCACATACACTAGCTAATAATCTTCATTGGCATGTTAACATACAAAGGTCAAATAAAACATTTTCTTTCAATTTTGTAGGACTTGATATTAATGCTCCGATTTGATTAATCTAATGTTGAACAACATCACCAAATGAATATGTCCTTGAATACTGAATGACCTTGAAGAACAAGGTTTTATTTTCAAAATAAGTCAAATATTCAAGAATAATAAACTATGTTATTAATTGTTGGCTTTGTTTAATAATTAGACAAAACATAATTTAGGGCTAAACCATTATATTGGGTGGTTCAAAATATGACCTTGGTATAATTTTAATGATCTTCACCTAATAGAGTATCTTTGTTTGTAAGATGAAGTTAACTGTGCAGCTCTGCTTGTGACAGCTTGTGTTGAAATCTTGTTACTATGACAACTTATAAATAGTCAAACTAGACCTATCACTAAAGGTGATTAATACCCCCACCAGCAACTTTGAGTTTTTGGTAAAATTAAGTGGTCTGAAGAAAAATTAAAAGTCAACTTATAGTAAATGAAGTATCAACTGTGTACAAAGAATTATTTCAATAAATTGCAATCCTAACCAGAATCTTCATATAAACTTGCTATACACAAATTTTGATAACAATATCTCATTCCTAACTCTATTGTTCGGAAACCATTTTCTATTTTTAGTAACTGTGACCTTTACCTTGACCCCATGGGGTCTAAATGCAATACAAACTGAGGTCTTCATATTATATGTTATTTTGGTTTTGGAGTGATATATGTGGATATATTACCTGCTAAGATTTTATATCACCTGAGCCATTAATTTTATTACCCTCCCCCTGCCGAGTTTAGAAGATTTTTTAAAAAATCATTGCTGTTGCAAATGAAACGTCGAAATAAGATTCCCTTTAGGGTACCTCTTCATCACAACATGACGTCACATAAATACATGACGTATTTTTCCCGTACCTAACGAATGTAAACAAGCGAAAAGGAGTAGTCTATTGAAAGCACTTTTTTGTAATTAATATCAAGCTTTCACAAGGTCATATTTGTTTTCAATACTGATGGGAATTTGTATCATTACTTTACATTGGTAAATATTTATCATTTGACAGTTAAAAAGTGCCTGTAAATCGGAATTTACATCGCGTAAAATTGAACTGTACGCGCATCACCTCAGCGCATGTCGTTTACAACGTTGGGTACCCAACGGGGAAATTTAGTGTGTATATTACCCGTCTGGCTCGGTTATATCAATTTCTTTCGGGTGATCAATATCCAATCAAAAAGGCGGAAAAAATCTGGAAGGGTAATAAAAGCTTGCTATACACCAAGTTTGATTACAACATCTCATTCCTAACTTTAGTCATTGTCCAGACGACATTTTTCTATTTTTAGTAACAATGACTGACTCTTTGACCAAAGGTGGTCCAAATGCAATAGCAACTGTAGTCTCCGCATAAGGTTGCTATATACCAACTTTGATTACAATACTTCATTGCAAACTCTAGTTATCGTCCGGTAACCATAAAGTGGACGGACAGATGGACAAGCTGGCTCCCCTAAACTTTGTTTGTGGGGTATAATCACACTCCTAATGGGTTGAAATCATAGTTCAACTTTTTGATATTTACAGTAACAGGTATATTAAATTAATTTACATCATCAAGTCAAATATGTACATGCTTATAAGATATTATAAAAATGTAAGAAAAGACCACCTATGGAGAAAGACAAAACAGAAAAGTATTCTCACACCACACACTTTAATTGATATATGTATGCATATTTCATGTAACAATCAATTTATTGTATTTATTGTACAAGAAGACCAGATTTTATTTTTTTTAAGTGTCAAAGAATTTAACAGCATGTCATAGCATTTGATGAACAAAGATAAAATATACAGCACACATACATAAGACAGATCATACAATTAATGATAAGACATAAAGTGACCAGGTATTGCATGTATTACTAGCAGTGCTACGAAACTTGATCATTGTATATAATATACGGTGTTATACTTGCTGATGTATCAGTAAGTGTAGAAGTTGTACAAACACCATCAACATCTTAAACCTACATTTTACCCATTCACTGACCATTTACACTTGTATGTGCATAATGTCTCTTTAAACCTACATCAACAATTGTTTTCTTCTAACTAATTGTATTATATATCAGATCATTTATGATGTTGGTATGACAGATTGAAGTTCACCACTAGTTTACAGTGATATACAAAGATCTATGGCTGAAATCTTCTGATGTTAATTATAAATGATTGACATTTACCGTGTACACCTGGATACACCTGATAGAAGTATATTAAAATCATAGAACATCTATAGTGACTTATTAGTCTATAAATTCACAATAATATTACAACATGAGTTAGGCTTTTATTCAAAACTAAAATCATAACAACAAATGAATATGTGATGCATTTTTACAATATTTGAAATTGAACATAATTAAGTACAATTGATTTTTATTTTATTTTGTAAGCCAGAAATAAAATAAGTAAAACACCCATCGTCTGATCAATTGTCAACTGCAAAACTTGCAAAAACATCAAAAGCAAGAAGTCCTTTTCTGGTACTTCTCAAATTTAGGATTTATGCAAGATAAAAGAAACTTATAACATATTGAAAGAAAACATAGAAAAGTCAAATATAATACCAGCTTGTATATCTTAAATATCAACTATCTCTATCTAATATATGAGCCGCGTCACGACAAAACTAACGTAATGGGTTTGCGACCAGCATGGATCCAGACTAGCCTGCGCATCCACGCTGTCTGGTCAGGATCCTTGCTGTTGGCTTTCAAACCCTATCACAAGTAGAGAAACTGATAGCTAACAGCATGGATCCTGATCAAACTGCGCGGATGCGCAGGCTGGTCTTGATCCATGCTGGTCGCAAACCCATTATGTTGGTTTTGTCGTGACGCGGCTCAATTATTTATCTCTCTTCAAGCAACTATATCAGATACAGATACATCAAGCAATAGACAGTAAAACTATTCTATAAGGTAAGTCAATCATTACATTTTGAACAGATTCTTATGTTGATTTTTAAAATTAACTTATGTCATGTACAGATTTTCTTATATTTTCCTTTCCATTACAATTTAAACAAGTGTATTTCAGCGGATTTTCTGAGTATAAGATGCGAGTTTGTCAAGTCAAAGTTATATTGTTTTAGCACCATGGCAGACAGTTGTGACCTAAAACAGTCATTTCTAGTCACTGCTACAGTTCTCAACATTTATATTCAATTATAATAATTAAAACTATGTATAAACAGTTTATACTGACTTACTAAGATATGTTTAATAAGCACTTGTATAATTATAATTAGTTATAAGATTTCTGACAGGTTATATGACCCTATATAAAATGTTGTTTGCATATATTACCCAAGCTGCTGGGTAAGAGCTATATAACACACAACCATTTATTTTAACACCCATACATGTATAACCTGTCAAGAACATTTGAGCCGTGTCACGACAAAACCAACGTAGTGGGTTTGCGACCAGCATGGATCCAGACCAGCCTGCGCCTCCGCGCAGTCTGATCAGGATCCATGCTGTTCGCTATCAGTTTCTCTACTTGTAATAGGGTTTGTAAGCGAACAGCATGGGTCCTGATTAGTTTTGTCATGACGCAGCTCAATTTTATTAACAAACTTCTAATACAGCAAATTTCCTTTATTAGAGAGAAACAAAAAGAAGAAAATTCTTCATAAATTGATTGCAGCTATGTATATAGTTTATATAAACTTCATGATTACCCAATGAAAAGCGACATTACAAACATGCAGTATTATAATACACTATTCTAAACATATGAAATTAACAAGTATAGATTTGGCTAAAATGCTTAAAACTTATGTATCATAAACAGTGTATCTAAGACAGAAATTATCTACAAACAGTACATCATATATAACCTGTATTTTCATAAGTATAGCAACAGGTATAACATACAATCAATCCTTGAATCAAACCTAATTTAGTTCTTGCTAAACTTGTTCCCAAGTTTTGAGATTTTAGACATGTCTCTATTCACTGAAACTGTTAAGTCAACAGTTCGAAACTCCCACATCTGTGTACAGGTCTATAATCTACCTTTATAGACTAGGAACCTCATAAATAAATATACCTTTCATTCACAATAATAACAATATACAATAAGACAAAACTGGAACACGAAAATACACAAACTATGTATATGATGGACCTATAGTGAAAAACAATGACAGAAAAAACTAGGGATTAAGTACCAGACATTGATACATTTTACAGTGTACAATTTTTTGCAATGCTTATATTATCAACTTTGGAAAATCTTAACATTTCATTCAATCATCAATGAAAATACAATGCCTTCTTATAAGTGATATCAGAAATTGCATGAAAACATAAAAGAATGATTTACCTAAGTTTTGACAATATGATCCATGACCTGTGCTTTAAAACAGACTATCACATTGTTGAAAATGAAAAACGAGAAAGAAAAAATGAGCCGCGTCATGACAAAACCAACATAATGGGTTTGCGACCAGCATGGATCCAGACCAGCCTGCGCATCCGCGCAGTCTGATCAGGATCCATGCTGTTCGCTATCAGTTTCTCTACTTGTTATAGAGTTGGTAAGCGAACAGCATGGATCCTGATCAGACTGCGCCGATGCGCAGGCTGGTCTGGATCCATGCTGGTCGCAAACCCATTATGTTGGTTTTGTTGTGACACGGCTCAAATATCCCAAAATATGAGCAACAATATCTACATACTGTCTTAGATTTAACCAACTTTACAGATAATTGCTCAGGCAAATAAAGACTTTGTTTTTGAAATTATTTACTGTCCAATAGAATTGTAGAATTTACCATGAATCATAACACATTTACTTTGGTAAATCAACTAATTTTTAATCAGTCTAGTAAATCAACAGTTTTACAAAAATAATTTCAAATACTTACAAGTCATGGTTAGTATTTATTTGTAAGCATTTACTACAATAAATTGGTCGAAAGACTGTGCCATACCTGACCAATTTAATTTTGTAAATGCTTACTAATAAACACTTACCTTTTCTTTAGTTAATATATTAAATCTTTCTGTTTAATATGTAACTATTACAATCTTGCTTAATAACAATAATGAGACAAGAGCGATCAGTAATCACATGTGTCGCCTCATGCTGGCCAATTTCATGTTGGGTCAAATTTTGTGACAGACGGACAGACAGACAGACAGTGCACAACTAGACTTGGTACTGATCATTCATGTAATGTTTGGATAAAATTGCACCAGTAGTTAATTAGGAGTAGTCCGGACAAGCTTTTGTGTATCTGGCAACACACAGAAAAAAACACCTTTTTATCAAAGGGCCATAACTCGGCCAAAAATCATTCAACCGGAAAACCCGTGCAATATGCGTAAGGACTTGAGCTACAGATCAATCCTGTAAAGTTTCATTGAAATTGCATTAGTGGTATAAGAGAAGTAGTCCGAACAAACTTTAAAAATAAAAATTATTAAAGGGCCATAACTCTGACAAAAATCATTGAACCGGAAAAAGCTGACAATATGCGCAACTAAACTTGGTACTGATCATTCCTGTAAAGTTTGGATGAAATTGCACCAGTAGTTTATGAGGAGTAGTCCGGACAAGCTTTTGTGTATCTGGCAACACACAGAAAAAACACCTTTTTATCAAAGGGCCATAACTCGGCCAAAAATCATTCAACCGGAAAACCCGTGCAATATGCGCAAGGACTTGAGCTACAGATCAATCCTGTAAAGTTTCATTGAAATTGCATTAGTGGTATGAGAGAAGTAGTCCGGACAAACTTTAAAATTAAAAATTATTAAAGGGCCATAACTCTGACAAAAATCATTGAACCGGAAAATGCTGACAATATGCACAACAAGACTTGGTACTGATCATTCCTGTAAAGTTTGGATGAAATTGCACCAGTAGTTTATGAGGGGTAGTCCGGACAAGTTTTGTGACGGACGGATGGACAGACAGACAGACGGACAGACGACGGAGAAGTGATCCCTATATGTCGCCACTACTCCGTAGAGGCGACACAAAAAATCATGATTACATATTTACTTATGTGATAACAGCAAAAATTATTTAATTAATATGTACTTAAATATACCTATTACTAGATATAACCGCATAACTGTTAAAATATCTACTCCCTAACATCATTTAGGAGATCAGTTTATTAATTAGTTAGGGACACACCGATTTACTACTGTTATTTGAACTTGTGGTCCAACCCTTCTTCTTTCAAAATGTATTTATATATTTTTCATTCTATATATTTGCATTGTACATATTGTAAAAATTGAAAGGAATAAAATATGTTTAAACTTAATTAATGATATAATGATGATAATCTACCTGGGCAATTATAATGCTAACATTCACAGCAATAAAGTTATACAAGTTCACATAAATGATAAACGAACATTGTGCTTAACATAACAAAATTATATTCAAAATCATCATTATATTACAGAATCTGTATTGATATACTCCACTGTCAACTTTGTTTAACGTTTCTATGACAATATACATCCTTTCTGGTCTGGCACATTGCCAGAAGCTTTCTCTATTGTAGTCACTATCTGTTCAAAAACTTTTTTGGCGCTCTGCAAAATATCCATAAAAAATGTTATGTAATTATTTTTCAAGAAAGTATCAAGAAATTGTTTTTTATAACTACAACAGAATTTCAAATAATACATATATTATAAGTACACAAAGAGCCACAATTAAGTCAAATCCATGTTAAAACCATGACCTATGACATTCAATTATAATTTTAGAGTTATAAACGAAGTTTCAAGTGAATATACTCAGTGATTGCCAGCTTGCATAGCTCAATCTGTTAGAGCATGAGACTTGTAATCTCAACATTGTGGGTTTGAATCCCGGGCTGGCCATAAGTTTTTAGAGACATTTATTTGAGGCCCAGTGTATGAGCAGACTTCCCGAAATACTTCGGTCCGACGGACATGTCCGATAAATTTTGATCAGGTCTGACCAGTTTTTATTCCGGATCGGTCCGACTGTCCGGCTTTTATCCAAGCCGCATGTATACAAAATGGCGTCGCTAAAGGTGCCAAACCTGGGAAAAATCAAAAATCTACGTCAGAGGAACGCGCAGAACAGCAGTAAAAGGATAAAAAGAATAGACCTGAGACAAAATTTAATGAAAAATAGAAGCAAGACAGTGAATCGTTGGTGTATGATAGGGAGGAGATGAAAATGCGCTGTAAGGAATGTGCCGATTTTTACAGCGAAAAAATTAAAAACAAAAGTGTCTTAGAAATACAAACACAAGTTAATCTTTGATTTTGATCAATTTTATTTGGTCCGACAGATTTCTTTTCGGTCCGTCAGATTTTCATGGTTTGTCAGACCGAATGTCTGACAGTTTTTTTCAACTTTCGGGAAGTCTGTATGAGGGCGTAAACACTTGGCTTGTTAAAGAACTGGAATTGGGGCAGCACTATCCTCCAAAATGTAAAATGACTTATACTCTCCTGGAGGACCCGCCAATATGGGTCAACCCTCAGTGGTTAAGCAGAGGGTGCAAACAACTTAATTAAACAAGAGTTAAACTGAAAATTCAAGTGAATGGTATTTTTAGTTTGTTTTTTTTGGGGGGATTTTTGTTTTTGTTGTTGCTGTTGGGTTTTATGTCGCACCAACACAGTCGAAGTTAGGAAGGCCTCAGATGCCCCTCAATGCATTACTTCAGGTACAAACAGGCACGTAAGTAGAACTTACGAAATTCCATAAGCAACCTACATAGCTTTTCATGTTATGGAATCCAAACTCCCTTCTGGTATTGGAACTTACAGCTGTGAAGGGCAAGTGGTTTGAAGTCCTCAATCTTACAAACATGTGGTCACAGACATCCTTGTATATGTTATAAAATTATTACCTGATTTTCCTTTGCTGAAGCCTCCAGAAAAGGAATTTTCCATTTCTCAGCACATCTTCTTCCTGCCTCTTGTGAAACTTCCCTAATAAACAAATAGACAATTACTTCATTGTGTTACTTCCCTAATAAACAAATAGACAATTACTTCATTGTGTTACTTCCCTAATACACAAATACAGACAATTACTTCATTTAAAATTCTTGAAAAGAACAATATCTATTCACATGTATTTAATTCATGTATCCACATACTGACAGTCATCAAGCAGCAAGTTTAAAGATTAGAAACAAGGAGCAATGGCCAACATGTTAAGGTGTCTGCCTCTCAAACAATGTACTATAGGTTTCAGACCTGTTGATCATAGTTCCAGAAAGATGACATGATAGTAGTCAAAATAAGCTTCAAGCTTTCTTCATAGATGAGCTCTAATTAATGATCTTTAAACAAAGAATGGTACAATATTATTATTCTAACAAAACAGTGTTGTGATAAACTTTTATGCTTGTAAAACTTGCTTAACATACTTGTATGAATGTATTTAATACAAAAACTTTATTAAAAACTTGTGAAACTCTTAGATAAGAATCTGTATTTGTACCTTTCCATAGCCAGATCACATTTATTCCCTACCAGCACTACAGGTATACTTCCAATATTTCCCTTCATATCTAATAACTTGTCATACACAAACTGTATCACTTCAAAACTGAAATACAACAACAGCAAATCAATGTTGAAATTTTTTTAAAAAACTCCAGTCTAATTTTTCTTTTTAAAATTAAAATTATCAATTTAAAAAAAAATTTTTTAACAAAAAAAGGGGTAACGAAAATTTTATTTTTTTTTAACTCTGTTTCCTAAAAACTTCAAATTGCGATCATTGGGAGCCCATTTTTTAAACTTTCCTCTAAGAAAATTTTATAACGGGTTTTTATTACAGATTTTGTATGGTAAATTTTTGGCAAATTTAAAAAAAAAACAGCAATTTCTGACATTGGCATACAAACTTTGGCAAAACTGTAATTTGTATTACTAGTATATACATGATAAAAGGGCACTCTGATAATTCACCTAACATCCATTACTCCAATACTTACAGCTATTCAAAACTCTCTGTTTATAATAACATATAAAGATTCTAGTGGTTAAATATATTAAGTAACATCTCACCTCTTCTGAGAGTTGACAGAGTAAACTAGAATGTACCCATCTATATTCATGAAATATGACTGAGGTAGTATAGAATACTCGTCCTGAAAACATAAAATTGTATGTAAATGTCAGGTAAAATAAAGTACTCGTCCTGAAAACACAACATTGTATGTAAATGTCAGGTAAATAAAGTACTCGTCCTGAAAACACAACATTGTATGTAAATGTCAGGTAAATAAAGCACTCGTCCTGAAAACATAACACTTTATGTAAATGTCAGGTAAATAAAGCACTCGTCCTGAAAACACAACATTGTATGTAAATGTCAGGTAAATAAAGCACTCGTCCTGAAAACATAACACTTTATGTAAATGTCAGGTAAATAAAGCACTCGTCCTGAAAACATAACACTTTATGTAAATGTCAGGTAAATAAAGCACTCGTCCTGAAAACATAACACTTTATGTGTAAAATGTCAGGTAAATAAAGCACTCGTCCTGAAAAAACCATAACACTTTATGTAAATGTTCAGGTAAATAAAGCAACGTCGTCCTTGAAAACCATAACACTTTATGTAAATGTTCAGGTAAATAAAAGCACTCGTCCTGAAAACATACACTTTAATGTAAATGTCAGGTAAATAAAGGCACTCGTCCTGAAAAACATAACACTTTATGTAAATGTCAGGTAAATAAAGCACTCGTCCTGAAAACATAACACTTTATGTAAATGTCAGGTAAATAAAGCACTCGTCCTGAAAACATAACACTTTATGTAAATGTCAGGTAAATAAAGCACTCGTCCTGAAAACATAACACTTTATGTAAATGTCAGGTAAATAAAGTACTTGTCCTGAAAACACTAGAACTCCGCGAGTCGGATGTGTCGCCTTGTGCACAATGTAGTTTAGGAGAAATGGCCAGGACAAAAATGAAATATGAAAAATAACAAAGGGCAATAACTAAAAAAATAATAAGTGCAGAGCAGCAGTTTCTGTGCACTGCACTTCTTATCAATAAGATCTATCATTTCTATGATGTTTCAAGTCCATAGCTTTCATACTTGAGGAGAAATGACCAGGACAAAAATAAAGTAAGAAAATCAACAAAGGGCAATAACTCAAAAAATAAGAAATGCAGCAGTATCAGTTCTTTGCACTGCACTTTTTTCTTAATGAGATCTATTATCCTATGAAGTTTCAAGTCCATAACTTTTTTATACTTTCGGAGAAATGGCCTGGACAAAAAACTAAGTATGAAAATTAAACAAAGGGCCATAACTAATAAATTAAGAAAATGCAGAGTACCGATTCTTGTGCACTGCACTTCTTCTTAATGAGATCTATCATCCTATGAAGTTTCAAGTCCATAGCTTTTATACTTAAAGAAAAATGGCCCGGACAAAATTAAAGTATGAAAATAAACAAAGGGCAATAACTCAAAAAATAAGAAATGCAGAGTACCTGTTCTTGTGCACTGCACTTCTTCTTAATGAGACCTATCATCCTATGAAGTTTCAAGTCAATGGCTTTTATACATTAGGAGAAATGGCCCGGACAAAATTAAAGTATGAAAATTAACAAAGGGCAATAACTCAAAAATTAGGAAGTGCAGAGTACAGGTTCTTGTGCACTGCACTTTTTCTTAATGAGATCTATCATCCTATGAAGTTTTAAGTCCATAGCTTTTTTAGTTGAAGAGAAATGGCCCGGACAAAATTAAAGTATGAAAATAAACAAAGGGCAATCACTCAAAAAATAAGAACTGCAGAGTACCGGTCCTTGTGCACTGCACTTCGGGTTATTGAAAGAAGCATGCATACCAAGTTTGAAGTCAATCAGACTTATAGTGACTGAGTTATGCTCCGGACAAGCTTTAGGGGACGCCGACAACGACACAGACGCCGCCGACAAAAGTAACCCCTATATGTCACCTTTTCAAGGCGACACAATAACACATTATGTATATGTCAGGTGGAACCTAGTACTCATCCTGATTTGTCCAGTTCACAAGATAAACTGTGTTTTATTACAGGGATGTAACTAAATAAATATATATCTCACCTGACCAGCTGTATCTACTAGTTGTAAGGCATATTCTTGGCCACTTATCATAACTGTTTTCTGAAAAGCTGAAAATATAACCATACAACAGATATACTTCAAGAAAATAAATTTCAAATCTCAAATACTAGTAAGATCACATGTAAAATATTTCACTTTAGATCCAGTCTATATAAACCTCCATCTAGTTCATACAACAAATACACCACTTTTGTTAACTGTCTTCACAATATATTTTTTTCAAGAACTTGCCCCTTCGGGAAGAAAACATGGACTTTTAACTTGCTGGAATCCAATTTACCTTGCCTAGGAAAAAAGATGAGCATTTCTTCCTGCAAAATGGGACAGAACATACTTTATCCTGTCACTTGTATCAATTTCGGCCCGATAACAAGGTGCCGTATATTTTTACTGATCTACGGCACTTGATCACGTGGTATGCATGTTTGCCGGACTACTTTTCAAGAAAAAATATAAAAACTGTCGTTAAATCTTCTGTGTGTAGAATAACGAATTTTGGAAATGTTGATAAAACTTTGTTTGTTTATTTTATTTCACTCTATAATTTTTCAAGCGAAATAAAAATTATTAAAAGTGAAATAAATGTAAAACTTAACTCGTTTTCGACATTAAAATAGCGTACTTGATCTGATTGTTTTGCACCTGCTGTTTGGCGCAACATTGTGACGTCACGTAAACAATACTTTAAACGTCTGTACAGCGTTAACGACTGAATAAAAGATATTGGTGTTTGAATTCATTTTTCTTAGTTAGACCATTTTCTTTCATTCTAAGATAGTTTTCACAACATAATTCGACAAAAATTGTATTTATTTATCACATTTTTCAAACAAAATGGCGCCCTTAATGTGAAAATACGCAGGGAGATAATAAGAACGGCAAGTGCATTGTTGTAGAATAATGCACACTTCGGGCCTTTTTGTTTATATAGAAACATTTCCGATACTGTGAATAAAGGTAGTTTGCCTAATAAAATTCTTTAAAAAAACGGTGACAGGATAAATAAAATAATAGATTGGTGCCGTGGATGGAGAAAGTTTATCTGGCTCTGCTCCGGAATTTATTGGGTTCGCCTGAGGCTCACCCAATAAATTCCTCCGCCTCGCCAGATAAACTTTCTCCATCCACGGCACCAACCTATTATTCTCTATATGAAGGGGGAAATGTCTGAAACAGGTCAAGTGGAACAAAAGAAATCAAAGCTCGTGCTCAGTTATAACTCTATATATTCAGTGCTCAGTTACTGTTTAAGCAGAAATCATGTTGTAAAATAGTACAAAGGCATTTCTTTTCTGTAAATCAACAGATTTACAACCATGTGAAAGTCAGTCATCCGGTTAGCTCAATAGGTAAAGCATTGCACTGTGAATTGGGCAACCCGGGTTCGACAGGTCACATTTGTTGCGATTGATCGTGAAATCTTTTCTACGGTCTTTGTGTTGTACCTCTGCTCTGGTATGTACAGAAGTCTCAGTTCCTTGTGAAAGTGATGGCACTAGTACTGGTAAACTGCTTGACAGCCTGTCCAGGAACGATGCGGTGGCTGAACTGTGCTCTGGTAAATTTAATGTGGCTTACTCAGCCGTGATCTGGAGTGAAAACTACCAACACCACCAACACCATATCAAAGTCTTGTTCAGATTCAAAAACAGTGACCACAAACTTCTGAACGTACATTATTCATTGCACTTAAAACCTACACACTACTGAACTGCAATGGTAATTTAGACAGTGATAATAGCAAAATAGACTTTGAAGTTAATGACAATCCCAAAGAGTTTAGGAAGAACTTCAAGAAGTGAAGCAACATACAGTAAATGGGTCATAATCTATCTACAACTGACTGGACATAAAAGCCTCTAGCCTAACATAATTTTAGTTTTTATCTAGTTTTAGATCTAACTGGAAATAAGGTGCTATGATAAAACTATTGAAAGAAACATTTGAAATAATTGCAGGTTATTTACATTGTGTACCACTGATATAAAATCCACTTTTGTAGAATTAAATAAAATTTTCTTGGAAAAGCAAATGAATAATAAAAGCAACCGCAAATATAAAAATAAACAGTTTTAACAAATCTTTAAAAAGTAAAAGAAAGAAAAACAAGTTGCGGTTTCCCTTTTTATTTAAATCTAGTCACACTTGTCTAAGTTTGAATCATTTCCATAAAAAAATGACAAAGTTAAGAAAATTCAGTCATAAAACCTTCAAGGTCAAGGTTATTTAAAGGTAAAAGTCATATCTAAATTATTCCACATGTCTGTAGTTTTATCCACATATAAATCAAATCAGTACATAAATAGCAAAATTATGACAACTTAAACAAAATTCAATTATCTCAAGGTCAATGTTATTTCAACATTTTAGAAGCCAGGTCTTGTCAAAAAGTTTTTTTTTATCCAAGTATGAAGACAATCCATTGATTAATTACCAAGGAACAACACTTTATGGCAATTATCAGTTAAAATGATCCATCTACATGAATTTGCCTACCATAAATCTTTGTCAGAGTGACTTGACTTTGTGTAAACCATCATGTGTCAATTACATAGTAGCTTTGACCATAGCAGAGCTACCTACTGCAAAATATGCAAAGACAGTTTATGCTCAGGTTTTTTATTTCATGTTTCATTAAAATTATCAAAAAATGAATTAACTTGCCCGATCGGGCAGACTGGTTGTAATTTTAACTTGCCTGTCAGTCATTTAACACATCCCGGGCTGCAGGCAAGTGGGTTATTTTGAAGATTGTGTTCATACCTCAAATAGAACACTTATGTCCATTTCTCAAATATAACATTTTCTGTCCATATTTCAAATATTTCACTTATGTTCTTACCTCAAACATATGTTCAATATTGTAGCATGAAATTTTAATAAGTCAGTAATAAAACACTTACTGTTCTCAATAGTTGGATCATAGGAATCAACAAATTGATTTTCTACAAACTGTATAGTGAGACTTGATTTACCTGTAAACATTAAAAAACATGATTAGTTATGGTAGACAGAGGTTTCAATCCCTAGAGTAGACGGTTCACACAAAGACACCCTGAAGACAGTTCACTCCCTACCTTATTAAAAAAAAATAATTGATTACTTTTGATTACATAAAATTTCTTAACACAAAGTTTAATGGTATTTTGATAGATAAATGACAATAAAATATATTAAGTTGACTTAAAAAGGGACCTCAGCATTTCAGTTCCAATTAAATAATTTTTCTAATTAATAATTCTCATCATGTATTCTGAGTGAAAATGGAAGTGATACATGAAATACCGATTGACACAGGTCTTTAAAACGGAAAAATGAATGATTATTTACCGACTTCCCCATTCATAGACTTTGCCTAATTGATATTACAATAATGCATTATCTTAATGACATAAATAACTACAAGTATTGCAGCTCAAGACCCTAGCAAACCAGTGACCTTAGTCCTAAATGACGTCAAGTCAATATCAACTTTTGGTAGCTTCCCAATTCATGATAAAGATACTGTAATCCATTTCACAACAAGAGCACCGCTAGGCGGAGCATTATATGCCCGAAAGTGTTTTTTTTTTTTTTTAGTAAAGATGAAGCATTTGTAAGACATGGGACTAAAATAAAGTATTACCTCCTTCAAATAACAATCCTCCTTTGAAGTTTCAATATTGTGGTCCAAATGGAACTTTAAGTTATGTCCCAGAAACTGTTTTCAATTCTAAGGTAAAAGTGACCTTGACCTTTGACCTTGTGACCCCAAAATCATTAGGGGTCTTTTACCCAATATGGACAATCATACTATGAAGTTTAAACACAGTAGGCCAAATGATACTAAAGTTATATTCCGAAAACTCTTTTCAGTTTTAAGGTAATAGTGACCTTGACCTTGTGACCCCAAAATCAATAGGGGTCTTCTACGCAATATGGACAATCATCCTATGAAGTTTGAATATTGTGGGCTAAATGGAACTAAAGTTATGCTCAAGAAACTGTTTTCAATTTCTAAGTAATAGTGACCTTGACCTTTCACCTTGTGACCCCAAAATCAATAGGGGTCTTCTACCCAATATGGACAATCATCCTATGAAGTTTGAACACTGTGGGCCAAATAGAACTTAAGTTATTCTCCGGAAACTGTTTTCAGTTCTAAGGTAATAGTGACCTTGACCTTTGACCTCAAAATCAATAGGGGTCTTCTACCCAATATCGTCAATCATCCTATGAAGTTTGAACACTGTGTGCCAAATGGAACTTAAGTTATGCTCCGGAAACTGTTTTCAGTTTTAAGGTCATAGTGACCTTGACCTTTGACCTGTGACCCCAAAATCTAAAGGGGTCTTCTACCCAATATGGACAATCATACTATGAAGTTTGAACACTGTAGGACAAATGGAACTTAAGTTATGCTCTGGAAACTGTTTTCAGTTTTAAGGTCATAGTGACCTTGACCTTTGACCTTGTGACCCCAAAATCAATAGGGGTCTTCTACCAAATACGGACAATCATCCTATGAAGTTTGAACACTGTGGGCCAAATGGAACTTAAGTTATGCTCCGGAAACTGTTTTCAGTTTTAAGGTCATATAACCTTGACCTTTGACCTTATGACCCCAAAATCAATAGGGGTCTTCTACCCAATATGGACAATCATCCTATGAAGTTTGAATATTGTGGGCCAAATGGAACTTAAGTTATGCTCCGGAAACCAAATTGCTAACGTTTTCAGTTTTAAGGTCATAGTGACCTTGACCTTTGACCTTATGACCCCAAAATCAATAGGGGTCTTCTACCCAATATGGACAATCATCCTATGAAGTTTGAATATTGTGGGCCAAATGGAACTTAAGTTATGCTCCGGAAACCAAATTGCTAACGGACGGACGGACAGACGGACGGACGGACAGACGGACGGACGCCAGGGGGTATAACATAATATGTCCGAAATTCTTTCGGGCATATAAAAATGAATTATTAATACTAAAATTTGAGTTAAAGTGAATTTTTGATGGGTGGATTTAATTTAGGTAACATATAAAGCATTGAAAGGGATGAAAATTTATGGACAAATTATAGATCTATTTCGAATGTAAATATTAGTGTGTTGTTGTTTTGAGTGAAATATGCAACCGAAAGTGGTTCTAATTGTGACATTGGCACATAGGGTAAATAGTCAACTCTGCTCTAAACCAACTCGGCACAGGTCAACTCGGCACGGGTCAACTCGGCATGGATCAACTCGGTCCTCTTTAAAAAACATTAAACATAGTAACTTTTTTCCGATTACTTGCATGTTGTCAAGGCCAAAAAATGTTATCAATGTCAAAATAAGAGATATCTGGTTTATTATTATATAATTGTACATTGTACTTCTGCAGAATTAAAGTGTATTTAGAAGAAATTCGTAATGTTTTTCTTGCAGATTCGTTAAAAATTGATTTAATACTTATGTGTTTCCTTTGATGCTTTTTGATTGTTAAGTTATATTCAATAAAACATTAAATAAAAAACGTGTTTACTTATTATCATAAGCTTCTAATTTGTTGCAGGTGGTTATTTATCAAATTTCAATGATTGCATCAAACATAATTATCACCTGATTAATCAGTACCCTTCCCTGAACATACACATGGGTTGATTGGTTATAATAGCGTATGTTAATAATTTAAGAAAACATCTTTCCACGTTTGTGAACAAGTCCATATATTAATTATTCGACAATATTGAGTGATAAAACCGGAGACATAGATAAAAAGTTATCTATGCCTCTGATAAAACAAACCAATATATTAATATATACTAGGCCTAATATATACAATTGAAAAGTTGGCCGAGTTGAACAGTGACTCAGTGGCTGAGTAAGTTTTTGTGCCAAGCTGACCCTGATTTGTCACATAGAACCACTTTCCGTTGCACATTTCATATAATATGTGTAGAGTCCGACTAAGGGTTTAATAGCGAGCTCGAAGAGCTGGCCCTAAGGGCCTGCTAGCAAAGCCAGCTTTATGGTAACGAGAGTACCTGCTAGATAGTGATGATTTTGAAAACTTTTGTCCGAAGTACTGAATTGACACATCGCAACTATTTGGCTAGCCGTACGGGCACGTACGGCTATCCACTTCCTTTTAAAATTGTAATTCAGTATTTTATACACTGCTTCCATTTATTGTGGTTCCCTATCCTCTTATGGTTCCATTATAAGAGTGCAGGACACCAGTCTACACTTCTGTTTTCAATCAGAATACCTCCGTTTTTATCTGTAATTATCATTATCTTGAAATTCGAAAAGTTGAGATGTGTCAGTTCTGTACCACAGACGCTTGGGGTTTGGAGCTCAAAACGCCTTTAAAATCCAAATAAAATGCATATTTGTCAATCCCAGGACATGTACTGATCATATATATCAAAAAATCTTAATATATGCCGTTTTGAAAAAAAATCATATTTCAACATCTATAATAATACACAAGATAAAAATGTTCGCCGGAAAAAATCCGCACCCCTACCGTCATAATCACCATGTATTTTAATCCATTTCCAATATTTTCACATAATCCTTTGGTCCATCGACACAGAAGATATAATTATTCACGATGATGGTCAATTTTAAACTTCAACGGTAATATAAACAACGCAACAGCCGAAATAAACATCAATATTCTCGCCGTTTTTTTTCAACGACAAAAACTTTCGATAAATTCAATGGACCAGACGGCTATGAACGAAGCTATCCTATTATGTGGTTCCCAAACTTAAAAGCGCTGCGCATTTTGCACACGGCAAAGCTGGGGCCACATAATCGGATAGCTTCGTTCATAGCCATCTGGTCCATTGAATTTATCGAAAGTTTTTGTCGTTGAAAAAAAACGGCGAGAATATTGATGTTTATTTCGGCTGTTGCGTTGTTTATATTACCGTTGAAGTTTAAAATTGACCATCATCGTGAAGAATTATATCTTCTGTGTCGATGGACCAAAGGATTATGTGAAAATATTGGAAATGGATTAAAATACATGGTGATTATGACGGTAGGGGTGCGGATTTTTTCCGGCGAACATTTTTATCTTGTGTTTTATTATAGATGTTGAAATATGATTTTTTTTCAAAACGGCTTATATTAAGTTTTTTTGATATATATGATCAGTACATGTGCTGGGATTGACAAATATGCATTTTATTTGGATTTTAAAGGCGTTTTGAGCTCCAAACCCCAAGTGTCTGTGTTCTGTGCTTTGGATGAAAGTTTTCAAAACCATCATTACCTAGCAGGTACTCACGTTAACCAGGGCTCACGCTGTCGGTCGCCATAGTCGCCATTTGCGATTATTTTATAAGATTGGCGATTATTTTTGCATTTTGGCTACAAAATCTGGCGATTATTTTTTACTTCCAACAGTATTTATATAAGGTGTAAAAATCGATAAAGAATGCAGTAGACCCAATTAACACCAGCGGGGTGGATTTAATTGAGTGTCAACTTTTTATCGGTCACGTGCTGCTTACCATATTGCCCGAGGTGATAAAAATACATGCGAGATGTAAAATTGTATAAGTACTTTAAAGATATTGTCCAGCATTATAATAGACATTAAGTATCTGTCAATTAGCCAAAAAGATCGTCTTAAAATTGATAAACTGGATATTGACCAACCCAAAATTTACGGGAAATTTACCGTAAATTGCAGTAATGACAAATTTTGATTTTTTTTTGTTTTAAGCTACTTGACTAAATCGCCAGTGGAAAACAATGATAAAATATTTAAAAAGTATTAACTTCCCAACAACTATTTGCACAACAACCAAAATTGTGAGTATTTCTTCAGAAAACAGGAAAGAATCCGATTGTCACATGTTTTCGCGACACCGATAATTTTGATATTTATTTAAAGGTGAAAATAAGCTATGTTCTGTTTAAAAATCTTTACTATTATGGCAGAAAATTTGTATTACATTGGTGATGATGACATTTTTCTGTAAGTTATTCAGAAAAAAGGCTGCATTCTGTGAATGAGTTTGCAAGTGTTATTTTTATAGGCTAATATGACCTAGATCTACTCCAGTTCTGTGTGAAATGTGGAAATTGACAGGGGTTATAGCTGACAAAATTTGATTAGAACAAACAAAAGAAATTGTCTGATAATAGCATTATGTAAATTCATAATGAATCTTGAATATTATTGATATACAGTAATTATACTATATAACATTTTTATTCTGTTCTATAATAACAATTTAAGTTGTGGGTCTATTTAAAAAAAAGGTAGTTATCAATATATACACAAATGTATCAGTTTATTTGAGAATCCTTATAAAACTGAAAAAGGTTTATATGTAATGTTTATTTAATCAACTGCTTATGTTGTTAATCGCTAAATCGTGAATAGTCCGCTGAACTTTTGGCTATTATTATTTTAAGTTAAAAATATTGGCTATTATTTTATTTGAGCCAGTGTGAGCCCTGCGTTAACGTAAAGCTGGCTTTGCGAGCAGGCCCTTCGGGCCAGCTTTTCGAGCTCTCTATATAATCTGTCAAACACCTCGCTTGATGGCTTTGCTTTGCCTTATTCTTATTAAATATATTTGTGTACCCCACCCACTTCAATTTACATATAAATTTTCGTTTCGGACAAACCCGTCAAACTTACCAACAGATCTGAAGCCCATAAGAGCTATTTTCCTTTGTTTTGCTGGCATAGTTACTTCAGGAGACTTTTTTTTAGGTCATGGTGAATAAGAATGAAAAAGAAAATAAAATTCTTATTTATTTTAGCGTGTTTACAAATTCTTTTTCCGGTTACACGGCGCATAATATGAAACAGTTGTGAGAACCACACTATACCTGATAAGTGACCATCCTGCTATATGTTTTTATGATTTTGATTTTGTTAAAATTTTGCTTAATATGTAATAAGTAGCTTTTATAGCTAGTGTTATTATGTTTATTGTAACTGATAATCACATTTTTTCTTATCTTACCAAACACCATACTGTACATTATTTATTAATAAAACAACCAAATCCTAGCATGGCCTTGTCCAAATGGTTAATTAATAAAAGTTCTCGAAATGACAATAGCCTTGATTTATTTCTTATTTCAAACCACACTCTAGACATGTTAACAATGTCTAAATCATACCTGAGATATTAGACTACATATGCCATCATCTCCCCAGAAATATCCCCTACAGGTCTAGGGTTATGGTTAAGTACTCTGAAAACAAAAGCCCCGTATTTGCACCTTGTATAAGATTGCCAACTGAACTGTGCTTAAAAAATCATTAAAATGCCAAGATTAGAAATATTTCAAAAAGTCAAATCTCTTTGTGTTGAAGACCTTTTGGAACAGTATCTCTACATGTACGTCAACTGTACAGGTTTTCTTCCGACTTCCATTAATAGTCCTTCATTACAATGGCATATTGTTCTATATATGGTAAAAACTTTCTGGCAACATTGCCACCCTGTCCGATTTAGTTCAGTTCAAGCGGGCAGTAGTAGGGTTGCGTGTTTGAGGCCTGTTTCCAAGGTTTTAGATATTTCATCATTTGACATATTCTCTTTTAACAATGACTAGAATAGTTTTCCACTCTTCCCTTTCCTTACATGTTTACAATGCCTGGACTTATTTTTCTCTCACCTTTCACTAATAATACAACATGCACTTATTTCATGCCTATAACAATCGTGAGATGGGTTGGCATTATTCAGAGAAATGTAGGTAGGTAGGGTAGATAGATTATTACATATGTTTTGATATATTTAATATCTTATATACAGCTGATATCATAGTCATTATTATTATTGTGTTCACTTTTTCAATATACCTTGTTGGTAGTCTATATATGAGCACACTATAAAATAAAATAAAAAACTACTTAAACCAAAAAACAAAATCTAGAAAACAGGTGATCCATCGGAAGCAAATAAAACATAATACATGAAAGTTGTAGACTAGGTTGATTATGTTAATAAGATAATTTAATAAGTGCATCATCTCGCTTTCAAGGAAAGACAAGAAAACTATCTAGCACGGGTGTTGCTTTCTGTAGATAGTCTGATATTATTGGCCTGTCAATTATGAATACATTCTAGCACTCACCCCACTTCGGTTCTGCCAGTAAAACTTACGAAAATTAATAAGGAATTATTATATTACTAATAGTTTGAAAACTCACACTACCTAACTAATGTTTAGGTTGACATTACATCCGCAACTGCACAGTCGGTTAAGTGATTGCTGAATATAAGAGAGGTCTGTGGTTCGAGCCTATTGTTGCCATCGCTTATCTTTTTCTTTATTTTTGCAGTTTGAAACAGCTCTTTTGCTTGCTAAAATGTTGACCCAGGCGTGAAGCAACTCAGAAACACTGTTGTGTCTTTGTTTTGCAGTGTAATATACGGAAATGAAATGACACACTTTGAACGATTATTTGAAAGCACAATCACAGATGAAAATGTTATCCTACAAGACAACCAGCTTTATGAAAACTTTGATGACTTAGATCAATACATTTTCAATTCCGAGATATCAGATGAAGAGGTATTACGATCTGTTAAAAAGCTAAAAGCTGGGAAAAGCGGTGGTGAAGACAAACTCATACCAGAATTTTTCATTAGTAGTATTGATAAAATTCTACCATTGTTAACATGTTTATATAATAGACTGTTCGAAAACGGTGAATTTCCAGCAAACTGGAATAAAGCAAACATTGTAGTGATTCACAAAAAGGGAGATATAAACGATCCGAATAATTTTCGTGGAATCTCATTGTTAGATATACTTGGAAAGATATATACAGGTTTACTTACTAGAAGACTAAATTTTTATATAAATGTATACGATAAAATTGCAGAAGAACAAGTAGGATTTCGAGAAGGATATAGCACCATTGACAACGCTTCATATTAAATGCTCTTATACAAAAACAATTATCAAAAAAGGGAGGAAAACTTTATGTGGCTTTCGTTGATTTTGAAAAGGCGTTTGACACTATTAATAGTCAAAAGTTATGGTCGGTCCTTAGAAAGAATGGTATACGTGGCAAACTTTTTTATGCACTACAAAGTATCTACAAAAATGTCAAAGCATCTGTCATAACAAATACTGGTCAAACAACAGACTTCAATTGCCCGAATGGATTAAAGCAAGGGTGCTTGGCCAGCACAACTCTATTCATCCTCTACATCAACGAGCTTATTGACAGAATTAACACTTCAGGGTATACCGGTATACAACTTTTCCCAGATCAGACACAAATATTATCATTACTATTTGCAGATGACCTGGCATTGACAGCAGACACTGTATTAGGACTTCAAAAACTTTTAAACTTATTAGAAGTATTTTGTGCTGAAAAGGATTTAAAATGTAATACCAAAAAAACTAAAATACTAGTATTCAAAAATGGTGGAAAATTAACTAAACATGAAAAGTGGACGTACAATAGTAAGCCAATCGAAGTTGTAAATTGCTTTTCATACGTCGGTTTAAATTTTACGCAACGAAACTCAATGTGTAATATGGCAAAGGAACAATCTTTAAAAGCCAAAAGAATCTTAATTTCAATACTAAACAAACTATATAAGTATGGTCAATTAACACGACATGTCTATTTCAATATTTTTGATACCAAAATAACCCCTGTACTTTTGTACGGTGCAGAAATATGGGGAACACGTCGCCAAGAATCAATTGAAACTGTGCACAATTATGCCTGCAAAAGATATATGTGTGTGAAACAGAGAGCAAGCAATATGGCTGTCCTAGGTGATTGTGGAAGGCACCCTCTGTACATAGCAGCAGCTAAAAAATGTATAAAGTACTGGTTAAAGATTGTTAAAATGAAAGAAAATCGGCTAGTTAAAAAGTGTTATCTTATGCTTATGAATTTGGATGAAAAAGGTCAAAACAACTGGGCCACCGAAATTAAAAACTTACTTTTAAGAAACGGCTTTGGATACATATGGCAAAATCAGTGTGTTTCAAATGAAATTTTTTTTATACATACGTTCACACAAAGATTAAAAGACCAATTTCTCCAAGAATGGTCGTCAAATATACACATTAGTTCAAAACTACAGTGTTATGCTAACTTTAAAACAAACTTTGGACACGAAAAATATTTGGAAATTGTTAAAATAAGAAAATTTAGAAGTGCCTTAGCCAAAGTAAGAATTTCAAATCATGCCTTAAATATAGAAAAAGGAAGATATAGAAACATTAATAGAGAAGAAAGAGTGTGCGAACTTTGTCAAGAAGACCAATGTATTGAAACAGAATATCACTTTGTTCTTGTTTGCAATTCATATAGCTCTCTAAGGAAGCTATATATTCCTAGAAAATATTGGGTTTCACCATCAATTAACAAGTTTAACATACTCATGAATACTGACTCAGAATCGCTGTTGTTAAATTTAGCTAAATTCATATTTTATGGTCTACAATATAGATCTGAACATATTGGTTAAATTAATTTCTACCAATATTTATATGACATTTTACTTTTAAATGTAATGAAGTTAAACTCACATAACACATACTAAAATAGATACAAATTAAAGTGTCGGTTTCTTCATTTGAAGGAACATTTATGCTTTATTTATACATTGTTAGCAAACGTGTGCAAATCATTAATGCCATTATGATTAATTCTACATTAAGTCTATTATTGTTGATTCAAAATTTTTCAATGTATACATTTGAGTTTGCGATAAACTACGTTTTAGCATGTTTTGCCTTACATTTTGTTTCGGATAAGGTTAAACTGTTGAAAATGTATAAAATTAATTCTCAATTACAATTTCTATTTCAGACAAACTTTATAGCAAGATTTTTTTTTTCTATTAAAATAGCAGTGAATTTTGATGATATACATGTATTACTGTATTTGACTATTACCATAATACTTTAACACTGTTTTGTACATATGTAAACAAAAACTTGTAAACTATGTTTTGTTTTGGGCTGGTGGCCTATGAAGCAATAAAGATATTGTATTGTATTGTATTGTATTGTATTGTATTGTATTGTATTGTATATTGACATTTTGTAATTTTAGATAATAATTCTTAAACGATGTAATTAAACAAAGTTTATCTATAAAATAAATGCAAAACATATTAAAACAAGACAGATCGCAACATAACCCATCTTAGCTAATATAAATAAGGAAATGAACCACCACCAACAACAAAGACACATGGGCCTTACTGTAATATTTTAAGCACCAACGGCCATTTTACATTAATATTATTCTTACACAAACATATAATTTGGCCATCAAGACTAAGTCATAATTAATGGAAGACAAGATAAATCAAAATGTTTTAAGGTGTTCCAATAAAAACTGGGAATGTTCATTCAGAAGTGTGGTCTATTTATTTTCAATTATAAAAAAAAAACAATGAAATAACAAGTTCATAAACGTGAACATATAAAATATATGAGCCGCGTCATGACAAAACCAACATAATTGGTTTGCGACCAGCATGGATCCAGACCAGCCTGCGCATCCGCGCAGTCTGATCAGGATCCATGCTGTTCGCTATCAGTTTCTCTATACTTGTTATAGGGTTTGTAAGCGAACAGCATAGATCCTGATCAGACTGCGCGGATGCGCAGGCTGGTCTGGATCCATGCTGGTCGCAAACCCACTATGTTGGTTTTGTCGTGACGCGGCTCAAATGCTTGATAGCAACTGATCTCCTTGTATTAACAGTTTTAGAGTCATGATAGATAAAGCAAAAAAAGGCCAGTGTAGTTATTTTTCCTTTTATATTATCATATTGACTGATTGCATTGAAATGCACTTATTCCTAAAAATGTGCTTTGTATATGATTATGTACTATATATGTACAAATCAAAGAAATACATGAGCAAAATTAATGGTGTTATTTTATTGTTAAAGTTCACTTTCACTCATCAGAATGATAATGGTTGACAAAGAATACGTAGCGTAGGTTGTTATGTATTTACGAGGACTTTAAGTTTTTTATGAAAAGTTTTTTTTTAATTATTTAAAAAGTATGCCACTGAACTACAAAAAAATTAAGTAGTCGGAGTAAATATTTATGTATACTTGATCGTTTCCCTTTTAAATTAAAATTCCCCATCGCTCCCTCCTCTGCCCGCATTAACTCACTGGTCATTTACCTCTTTTGAAAGATTACCAATAATTTACCATGTCACCATATTTAATATCCGTTTCTTGTGAGTATTTGTGATTGAAATAGCAACAGAGTATAACCGTTTGCGCATCAATGATGTTGTATTGAAATAACATGTAGAAATATTACTCCACCCTAAACTTGGATAAATCACCTTTTACAAGGGGTTAATGAACCTAGTCACCTTCATGATGGCGGCAGTTACTGTTGTTGTTTTTTTTATAAATTGTATACAAAAAAGCAAAGTAAGTCAAAACAATAGAGAACTTTTGGTGACTTGCTGGTAGACTTATTTAGATGGTGTTTAGCATTAATGAGTTTTATGTATACTAGAACGATATATTACATATACAAATATTTTAAGTTAAGTTTAGTTATAATGGTTTGATAGATCAACAATAGACCAAGACAGACGTCTAAGGAAAGCAAAGCTGTTTACTTGGCGAACTTGCTTAAAGTAAGTTTCAATAATATATTACTAGTATCAGATACTATGATGACATATTTCTGCCAACAGTTAACCATATAATAATCGCATTAACTATCTGAAACATCCGAAACATTCCGCATTATCTATTAACTGAAAATTGTTCTTGTTATAATAATTGATATCTTGTCATCTCAATATGATTCATATAATTATGCGGTAATGTTTAGATTTATTGCAGACTTACATACATTGTGATATTACATTAATTATATAATGTAACTTTTGAAATTTATCAGCATTATAACGCAGTGATGTGCTCTTGCTAAAAACACGATCTCCAAAAGCGCTGCATACAATGTATTCAGTTTTATTTAAATATTGTCTCTTACACATACCAGTTCATTTAGATTGAAATGAATTTTGTACATTGAGAAATATTGAAGGTAAAAGTTTTATGACAACAAAAACAAGGAGCGTTTTTATATCGCCCATTTTCACGTACTCATAAAATATCACGTCATTTTATCTTCTAATTCGTTACGCCTTTATTTCAAAGAGATAAAAAACTGACAAATACGTTGGTTTAAACATATTAATTTAAGCTCGATTACTAAACAAGTTCTTGCAACTTATATTAATCACTTTCGAGTCAGATTCATGGAACCAACCAGTATTGGTGTCATATGAAGAAACATGGTCGTGACCCACCCATGATCCCTGGGTTTGAGAGGCAGACTTATCAAATACGTTAAAATATCAATTTTATGATTTTTATTTTACCAAGATGAAAGTTGTATATTTGTATATTATAATAAAAATAATCTTATTTTAAAACATTTAAAAAAATACTATACAGTAGCTAAATAATTTCAGAATGAGATTTATTACAATTTATCATGTAAGTGAATCAATTTTAAGCTTTATGAAAACAGTTTACGGATTTAAAATGAAATGATTTTTAACTTATCTATATCTGGGTTGGTCACAGCAGTAAGTCATCAGTGCTTGAATAAATTTCATATTGAATTAAGTTTTCAATAAGATTTTAACGCATAAATGCCGTTCATGCAGTGATTGGTGTGAATGAATATAATGCTCGATATATTCAGCTATGTCATAAGGAGTGCGAGCTTTTGTAAATTTTAGGGTAACGCCCAGTTCTTAAATTTTTAAATTTTCACACGAAGAGATATACTTGTACTTTACTATTATCAAAGATATAGATTAAGAACGAGTTTTTGTTTCAGTGTTTCGTTTATATTATTTGATAAACAGAATGTTAAAAAATGGATTATAAAGATAAAATATCATAAACCGTGGTATGTATATTTACAATATATTAAATAAATACATTCATTATCTGTTTAATGCTGATTTATGTGGAATGTCTTTCTACATTAAAACATTTATGTTTATTATCTTAAACATTAAAAAAGTAAATGTTGTTTGACATATTTATTCACTTATTGAAAAGTTCTCAGCATTTTCTTTTTATCTTTTACAAACATATATGTATATCATTCAATTTTAAATTTAATTGTTGACTTTTTGGTTTGTACAAAGCAATAAACCCTTCCACTTATTTTTAAAGTAAGCAGAACGTAATTCACGAATCAATAATCAATGCATTTGAAGGCTGCATCTTCTTCATGTTTATGATTTTAAGTAGCAGATTTTTTGCTTTAACAACACAAAAAAGATAAAAAAGACAAAAAAAAATCGTATCGAATTGTATGAGAGGCTACTTTGGAAATAGTCTGAACATGTCTGGTTTATCAATCGCGCAAAATATATCTACCGGTAAAAATATATCGGGAGTATTTACTATAAGCTCGCATATAATGATTTCACGGATTTCAATAGCGTCTACCTCCCGTCTTATTCACTTTTTTCCCACGTTTTGTTGCAATTCATAAAAAGGCAAGAGATTTAATGAAAAAAATATGGTGAATTATTAAGTAAAATTGTTATCAACCGTCGTAATACAGACAGTATGTAAAATCATGATAGACTCATTCGATCATAAACAACAAGTCATAATATAAGGTTGATAAATATTAAGAAGCTGGACTATTTCAAAAAAAAGTTTGTTTTACATAGTAATGTCATCGATTGCAACTTTCATGTGTAAAACATTTTGTATAAAACATACAAATGGCAACTCAGAAGGAGACTTCTTCTGCAATAAACCAAGGAACAGATTCACTACCTATTTAGGTCTTTGTAATCCTCTCAATTATTTTTTCAGAAGTCCTCTTTATGTAAGCTGTTAACGTATTTATTTGAGTAAACATATCTATGACTTCTTGTACACTGTCAACACAACTCAAATATAAAAAAATAAAAGTATTTCTACAGATTGCTAAATGAACATTTTATACTTTACAATTACCAAAGCTAAAGCCAAGAAGTAAATTGAAATATTAAAGAACATTTAACAAAACATGCCTATTTGAAATGACATACATGGATGCACCAAAAAATGCAAAAATAAATCTCTCTGACGTTGCCAGTATTACTGACTTACTAATGTGTTTTACCCTAAATTGCATCAAAAACCTTCTTACTTAAGATTTTTTTCTTCATACAAAAATTAAAAACAATTATTTTTATTTTCAATGGATTTGTCTTATTTTCGAAACATCTCAAAGAACTCAAAAAGACATCTTCATTATTTTTAAGTACAATTTTAATTATTTATTTTTTTAATCCTTTTTCAACCGGACCATGGATTTAATGCATATAATTTAAACTTGCTTAAACACAATCTGACTAAAAAGCGCTCCTAAATAATTCCTCTCATTACATGTAAAAAATAAGAACATCTGATCTTTTGTCAGATTGGTATTCTACTAATATTAAAATATTTGACGACAACCGATGGAACAGCTTTCTACAAAACAGATGTAAATGGCCTCATCCTAGATTTGACATTTTTATCTTCGTTTGATGCAAAGATGGTTCATACAACTGCAAGTGCGTTTTACCTGAAGTCCTTCCTGCCTATAAAAGTAACTGATTGTGATGAGCATGATATTGTAACCAGTGCGAGTGAGATATCTATGAAGTCGATACTGACAATCAACATTTGGTTTGTTCCTTTGGCATGGAGACCGTTGAAGAGTATTATTTAAAAATATAGAGCATATTAACAAGGAGAATCATTCTTGATATCAATAAAATGAGCCGTGATATTATAAAGCTTGAGAGGGAAACACATCCAACAATGGAAATTCATTGTATTTCACTATAAATACCCATACAAAAGGATGATGGTGCTAAATGTAAAACATTGAAGTCATCACACGGCTGTATACATCAAACATCATTAACCATGCTTTGGGGCTTTGAAGGGGACAGCAGACCCCCTCATCTCCAAGAAAACTTTGGACTTGTGCGAGGCTAAAAATTGCCTCCCTTAAGTCGACCTTACTGTAACATGTAACCAACACTGAAAAGCCTTTGACTTTAAAGCTGCACGTCTCCAGATGAGCGAAAATATTTCAATAAAATCAAACCTGAGAAAAATGTACTAAGATTTTAAGAAAAGTGTAAAGATTCAAAGTTCTAGTAATAATTTACATGTTATGTGCGATTAATGACCGATTTTTCAGTATTTATAACTATATTTCTACTGCGTTACTAACGCAGTAAGGGCTATTTTTGCATATTTTGTCCTCTTTTTAGTAATTTACGTGGGTTGTAAGTGCCATTGATATTGTGTAAATTGCTTCCTTTTGGTTATTTCACTGAATAATACTTTTAAACACATTTTCAAAATTTTCATGAAAATTAGCATGAATCTGGAGGTGTGCCGCTTTAAGTCAATGCATTGAGAAGTTGCAGTACTTTGAAATCCGTTTTGATGGACAAAATCAACGCAAAATAGTGATATTTGGCAATTTTGAGATGTCCGCTCGTAGCCATGTTGACAGGAAATTTAGAATTGAATATGCCGTTACAAAGGCTATGGTCCAGTCAATATTTGTGCCAAGTTTGAACAGTATTGAAGCCTTTTTTATAGTTTCATAGTAATTTGAACTTTTCAATGAAAACAGCCAATTTTCACAAAATGCTCTTGCAGTAATGGGTTAAAGGACATGGACCGGCCATTTTGTAAGAGAGCAGATTTCCAATGAGAAAATGTGTGTTTTAAAACACATAAACAACATTGAGCTACACATTTGTTGGAGATGAATGTGACATGAGAGCTATAACCATCATGTAAGATTCACAAATATGTATTCTGTTGTACATAGAGCTGTTCGGATCTTTGGAATCGTATGAAAAATCAAAACATCAGGAGATACAACTCAGGTAAAGAAAAGTAAATGGAACAGGGAGTTGTCGGAACACAAAATGACTTAAATCTGCCGCTTAGTGCGGTTTTTAGAGGAGTGGAATTTTTCTAATAAAAAAAAAGAAATTAAACGAAATAATGTATATAGTAACTTCGATACCATATGCATTTATTATAATAAATAATTATACTGCAGTGAAAATGTCTCTATATGAGTTTTCTATACCTAGTAAATGAATGGTTTAACATAAAAAAAACTTTTCATCAAATATATATTCTTACTTCCGTTTTGTCAGTCTTCATTCCTTTATTAACCAATAACATGTCGTCTTATATACGAGGAGGAAAAAGAATCAACAACAACAATACGTTAGTAAAAGGTCGGATGAACCCAAACCCAGGTACATAATCTCATCAAAACTGCAGTTTCTAGTGTGGCAGCCATATTGGAACCGTGTGTATAATTCTACGTTTCCAATATTGCTTCTTAACGAGAATCGCATGAAACTTCGACAGAGATATGGACAAAAAATGTCTTACAATTTACATTTAAATATGACAGATTAAATCTAAATACAGATGCAAGGCAAACATAAAGAATGTATACTGAATTATCATATAAAGCAACGACAACGATGTTAACAAATAACATCTATAGAATCTACACTATAGATTGTCACATATGAAGGAAAGGTATACGAATAGTACAGTAAATAACTGTAGCGACAGAACGGTATACATAGCTAGCATACCTTATACAATAAAATATCAAATAATACAGTGAAAGAAAAACCTATAAATTGCATATAATCTGCACTAATAATCACATAATACAGTGACAAAAAGATATACAAATAACACGTAATACACGCAAAATTCAATGACAGAGAGGTATAATAACTTACAATTAAATAAATAATGACATTTTACTGCGACAGAAAGGTAATCAAATAACATACAATATGCAATGAATTATCCCGTTTTATATAGTGACAGAAAGGTAAACATGTAACAGAATCTACACTAAATTATCATATAATACACTGACAGAAAGGTATACAAATAACATACACTATACAATGAATTAGTAGAACACTGCTCAATGGCATGAGATATGTCGCACTTGATATAATAACCAAACCAATGAACAAACAGCATAAAACCTTGGTTTACTACAAGATGTATTTGTTTCTATTTCCAGTGCTCTTAAAGGGTATTCCTTTCAAGAATTTTTTTCATGTTGATAATGTGATTGTTTTTTTAAATTATTTTGAAGACATTAGAAGTATCACATATGGAGTGCTATGGCGAGGAAAAAAAAGAAACATTCTCCTGCGATGAGCATTCTTATTTTTGTTACAACTTTAGGTAAGAATATTACAACATCTTTGATAGAAACGTGTTAGTCGAAATAATCTTCCTGAGAATTAAAGTATGATAATAATCAATAACGCGGAAACAAAGCTATTAAATAAGTCGTTAAATTTAAACATATTTAGGCAAATTAGTTTGAAAAACAAGCTTTTCAACTTCCGAGTCGACTTCCTTCAACAAGCCATATGAAGAAACATTATTGTTCGAGTATAGCTCGAACATATTATCCCTGGGTTGAATGACGACACCATATCCACCAAGTTACCGTCAGACATACTGTATACTTTGTGCATTTATTAGTACTTAGTTCCCAGATTTAACTAGGAATTATAAAACTGAGTTAATAAAACATTGTTAACAAAACAAATCATGATAGTTGACGTATAAGGATTACCTTAAACTTGTAAATTACATAGTGAGGACAAGTTGTTTAATTCAACTGGAACATGCTGAGTTCTGTCAAAAGGAAGGGCAAGGCGAATGTAATTTACACACCAAATATCCATATTATGTTGGGCGTTATCTATATATACTCTCAAATTGAATGGTCTTATTTATGCATCTTAAATTAAGATAGATTCATGAATGATCAATGTTGGTACGAATAGATTATACACATCAAATACATACTTGTGTCATTCTGACCTAACTTATTTTATATGTAAACAAATAAAATAACGCATGTATTAACAGTTTACTGTCATCAATGTAATTCATATTAAATTTAACTGTTAATAATTAACGCTGCAGTTAAGTAGATATTAACTTAATTCAGAACTCCAACATCTTACCACAATGTTTTGTATTATTTTGCAGTTATTGTTACAACATTTATATATCTACGAGGGAAGAAAAGACACACAATTACTGATATTACCCGATACACGAATACAAGTATATACTCATATCAACATATTAAAATCCGTGACTCCCGTCGCACTTTGCTCAACCATTATGTCCGAAAAAAGAAACTTGCAGATGCTATGTGGACTGTGAAACCTAACATACCGAACCAATGGAAGTCTACAGAAAACATTCGCCATTTCGATATTGACGATCAGAGTGAAAGTTCCCGTGAATCAAACGACGAGGATGAAACATCAGATGACGATGTTAAATGGAATTCTTCCTCTGACAACTATGATATAGATTTTAAATCCTCATTTGTTTCATACGACACGACACCCTCGGTTACAGATGCCCCAACCACTCCAATAACAACACAGTCAGAAACAACCCCCCTGTATACTGAAAGTCCAACATCACCTATAACAACAGAATCAATAACCACACCAGGTGTCACTGAACCAGGTGAAGTAGAAGTTACAACAGAGGCAGACCCTGATGCTGACCCAAATGGTAACAAAATATTACACCTTACATAAATATGCTTCTTCTTTAAGCATGCAATTGTAAGCGCGCCTTTAAATCTTAAAATAGTATAATATTCACCATGACGCCATCGAACAGCTAATATTAAGTGGTTTTTTTTCCAAAATGCGCACTGTACAAGCAGACTGCAAACTTTTTTCAGTACAATTTCTTGAAATATTGTGTTTTTTTCTTTTTCTTTTACTTTTATCCGTTTTCTTATAATGTGGTATAACATAAGAACTAGTACACATTTTTTCAAACTTCATCGTATTATAGTGACCTCTAGCAGTCAGCCAGCAAACATTAAAATGTGTTTGGACCGTGTTTGGAGCTGACTGGGAGGCCCTCAGTTCTGTGTACTAGCTATTTCTTAAATAAACACGTTATCAAGATTCATGAATTACATTACCGTTTCATATTAAAATTACCATATTAACATGAAGTAACTAGTTGTATATGTCAGTTATTTTCATGCTACGTGTGTTAGTTGATTATTTCTAAAAAGTTGATTTTCATGAATCCCCGCCAATCTTATATAATTATAACTTTATAAATATAATATTTATCTGTATTATCCTCGTTATTTAATTGTTCTCTTATTTCAGAAACCTTAATGCTGATACGTCACAGGCGTGGAGTTGGCTGTAAGTAATTTTCGTTTTTTTCTAGATATTCAAATATTTCTATGATACAATTCTTTAATAACGAAAACAAAACATTTATAATGAGAGAAAGAGGAATTAAATAAAAAATATTTTAGGTTCTAAACAATAGATACTACCGGTAAAAAATCTTATTTTAATTATTTGTTTATTTATTATAAGATATTTCCATGCGTTGAGAATACACAGGTGTATAAGACAAAAAGCATTGTATGTTATGAATAATTATTTATATAAATATTTATCATCTTTCCCCACAGTCACACCGACATCCCCTGATCCTCTAACAACTTCCGTAAAACCACGTAAGTGACAGAAAATATTACATTTTTAAAATAAAATCACGTATATAATAAAAAAATCCTTTAATATGTTAACTTAATTATTTTGACAGATTGACAATTTACAGTTACAATTTATATTCAGGTGTCCTTTGATATAAACATATTGAATAAAGATAGACCTGGAACTTGCTAATATGTTAATTACACTACAGTAACTGCAAGTGTTTACCTTACAGCGAAATGTGGAGGCTATGATAATTACACGGATGATTCGGAAGACTACTATACCGGGCCAACTGGTGATTGTGAATGTGGTTATAATATGACAGGACCATTTTGTTCTGAAGGTAAATTTCCATCAATTGACTGTTGATGATTATAAACACCTGATTTTGAATGTTGACGACTATAAATATTCGGTTGACTATGATGAAAATAATTAACAATCGATCGACAATGATGAAGATAATTAACATCGGATCGACCCTGCTAACGATATTAAACACATGTTTGGCATTGTTGACTATAATAAACAAACGATGGACACTGATAAGGATATTAAACACCCGATCGACACAGTTGAAGATTATGAAAAGAAGATCGACATTACTGACGATATTTAACAACGGATTGACACTTTTGACTAGATTAAAAACTGATCGACAAGGTTGACGATTATAATCATCTGATTGACACTCTTGACGGTACACCAAGTCGACGTGTATGACAATAATAAACACCCGAATAACACTGTTGCCCTAATAATTATCCGAACGACACTGTTTGTTATGATAATAAACACCCGAATAACAAAATTGACAATAAAAATATTGACGTGTTCCATAAGCATTATTACAATGGCGAAAAATCAAAATAAGTAATCTATGATATAACTTGATATTTTGCTGACAATATCCTTACAAGAAAAAAAAATAAAGTCACTTATTTAAGTCAGTAAGTTGCAATTACAATAGTGAAAAAAAACCTAAACTGTCGTTATCCGTTCTATTTTTACATTCACCACAATAGAGCTAACAGAAGAGGAGAGGGCTAGCAGACTTGCGGCATCTTTACAGTTCAATACACAGGCTGATGGTGAATTTGATAACACACAAAGAAAACATTTTCAAGAACAAGTAATTTACTATACACACTACTGCCAAAAATATATGCATCATTTGCAATCAGATTTTCTTTTTCGAAATACTCTGGCAATTATAACCTCCTTTCTATTTTCATAGAAAAAAATGTGTTTATAGTAAAGCATATTTAATAACAAAATGCACGTATCTTCTGAACTTATTGGTATTGTTATCTTAAATAAAGTCACATTTGTTATAATCAGCTTAGTAGTGTTAAAATGTACTTTTTAGAACATGAATTAAAGTTATTATTCAGTAGAACTGGACTAAAAGTTATTTCTTAATTTAATCTACGCTATTTCCCCTCTGATTGAATAATATAACATTACAATTTGTTATCATTTAAAAAAGTTAGGTTTTATTGTTTAATTGAGATTAAAACATGTTATTATCAGCACATAGTGAACTGATTTGTAAGTATAATTCAATTTTGTTGCATAACCATCATACGTGATTTGTTTTCTTTCAGTTAGAGCAACATTACTCTACATTAGAAGGTTTTGAGCGTGTTTTTGTGTTACCAATGATGTACGTGATACGTTTCTATTACTTACACTATTCAAATATATATATACTGATATTAAGATGTTCATTAAAGGCGAGTTTTATAGTATTATACATGCAGGCAGAATGTAAACGGCATAATATAATTTATTTAAACTTTGCATTATCTTAAAATATGATAACAGAAACATTTTAAGCACAAGACAAAATTTGGGACAGGGGGATCACAGAGCTTGTGTTTGAATTTAAAAGTTTGCTTATTTAAAGAGCAGTTAATTTATACATAATTCTGTCCTTGAAATAAACAATATCTGAGCCGTGTCATGACAAAACCAACATAATGGGTTTGCGACCAGCATAAATCCAGACCAGCCTGCGCATCCGCGCAGTCTGATCAGGATCCATGCTGTTCGCTATCAGTTTCTCTACTTGTTATAGAGTTTGTAAGCGAACAGCATGGATCCTGATCAGACTGCGCGGATGCGCAGGCTGGTCTGGATCCATGCTGGTCGCAAACCCGTGATGTTGGTTTTGTCATGGCACGGCTCAAATGTTTCTTGTATAATGCAATGTTTAAATAGAGTCTATTACACATTTTTCATAACTTAGAGATAATTTCCCTTGCCTTTTTAAAACTTACTTCAATGATTGGCCTATGGTAATGATAAGTATGAAGAGATGGCTGTTTCAAAAAAACAATAAACAATATATGATAAAACTGGGTTTTAATGTTTATATACATTTCAACAGATTTATGTTTTGTGCCTCTGGTATAAATTATCATTGATATTATTTCCTTTATCATATGCCATCTTGGCATATATCAAATGGGTCCCATGCCCAAAATGTTTCTTTTGTCTTAATAAACATCTGTGCAAAGTTTCATGCTTTTCCCATTTTCTGAAGTATTTTGGCATATTTTGTTACAAATTGACCTGACTAATAGAGAAGATTGTAATAAAGATCTGTACATTCATGCTTGCAGTTATGACCCTGAAACAAATAAGACATCACTTAGGTTCATTATTTTTTTCGACGACACGACGGACGCTGAGGATGCCGCTAGGTCGGCCAGCAAAACTTATGACATTGTCGGAAGTGTACTTCCAATCTTGATAGACAACCAGCCTGTAACTTTCGGGGAGAATGATTCATTCCTTATTCGACCAACAATAGACTCACAAGTCGAAACGAGTACGTATTTGTATGTTTTTTTTATTGTCTTGTCTCCATATTATTTCTGGTTAAAAATAAGTAATGGTACAAGTATCGATGTCAGGCTTTCTTCTTCAATATTGATCAACTACTTATGAAGGTTAAATATTGAAGCACTCCTTTTATCTCCTTACCAAATATCACGAGCGGGATAAATAATTATCTTTTTTTTTTCAAAAGCGCAGAAACAGTTAATAATTCAATATGTCAACTCCACAGAAAGTCAGTTAAAGAATTGACGGGCTCATTTGGACGCCCCTGCAGCTTACTGGGTCAATGATTAGGTCACAAGTTATTTTAATATACCGTTAATATTATTTTATTATATTGATATCATAAATTTAATATGTTTCTTGAATGCCCTTTCTGAGCTTCAAACTAATGTATCTAACATATAATGGTTTGGGGAATGGTGCTCATTCAGGGCACTTTCTGAGTCACAAAATATTTCATGTGCTCATCGCACTTACAAAAAAACCTTTCACAAAGTCGTCAACAAATTGTTAGCACGTGTATGCAGTATCTTAGATCAATCTCATAAATTTAAATCATATTTTAGAAACTTCCTCATGCAATTAAAACAGGATTCTGTATATAGCAATATTTGATTAGGATCTCTAAGCTTTGTTGATTTGTTATATCATAGAAGGTAAAACAGAAACATGTTTATCTAGAACTGTTTAATTATGGATTATACGACACAGAACATGACGTGTGCACTTAAGATGTTACGTTTAAACAAATATATAGTAAGATGAAAATATGAAGACAAAAGTAGAAAAGCTTCATTAATGTAGCATGTCTATTTTAAAGCAAGTAATTGAGCCATGTCACGACAAAATTAACATAGTGGGTTTGCGACCAGAATGGATCCAGACCAGCCTGCGCATCCGCGCAGTCTGATCAGGATCCATGCTGTTCGCTATCAGTTTATCTACTTGTAATAGAGTTGGTAAGCGAACAGCATGGATCCTGACCAGACTGAACGGATGCGTTTGGATCCATGCTGGTCGCAAACCCATTATGTTGGTTTTGTCATGGCACGGCTCATATACTAGCGTTGTCTCTACTTCAATACTAACACGGACGTATATGTCTGTTTCAGTTCCTCTGGGATCGGAGAACAAGGAAAACACATGTTATATATATAATCAACTTCAAGCCTGTGACCACGGTGAAAACAGAGGGAAATGTGTTGTCATTAACGGAAATCCAATGTGCGAGTAAGAATTTCTTTAAAGTTATAGTTCTCAGCATAATTGGATAAGTATAATTAAATGGCAAATTTGGTGAAAACTGGTTTGTTTAAAAGTTCCTTCAATAAATGATGATTTGAGTTTTGCACATTGTTTAATGAATGTTGCGCCAAGATACTGCATTGCTTGATTCAATTGAAGATTAAAAACAACATGTCACTGTTAGTGCTTTAAGGCAGGTAGTAAACACCTGCTATTAATTGTGATTAAATCAGCTATTAATATTTCAGATATTTTTAAAAACATATCTGACTGTGAACATTATTTTAAAAATATGTCAAATTGATATTACAAATTAACGTTTTGATGTTTCTCATAGATGTACAACGCAGTATATCGGCGAATTTTGTGAAGAGGAAGTTCGTTATGCAGCAGAGAGCGAGGAAGAAAAGATCTTACCGGTGTTAGTACCGATATTGGCCGGCGTAGCTGTTGCGGCGGCATTGTGCTCGTGCTGCTTCTTATGCTGTAGAAGGTGCTATAAGGGAGAAGATGAGGCCTCGTCATATACTGAGTAAATTTGAACATATATAATATATAATAAAAGATCTTCTTGTGTGATTATAAACAAAACCCATCAAATTCAAAATACAAACATAAAGCTTCAGTCGTAGTCCCGATACACATTAATAATTATTGAGCATTATAGTCAGGTCATACAAGATAGTACAATGTCATTAAATAAAAAGCAAATTAGAGTATATATGAGATATTATTGGATGAATAAATTAAGTTAATACTGTTTTATTTCTGGAAAATGATCCTTGTACTGAAATAAAAACAAGAGTTAACAGCTGAATATTACAGACAATGTTTGATTGTGTTATTAGAGGCAATCAGTTGTATAATGTGCAATTTTACATTAAGATTTACCAGACCACTACTAACATTACTATTATTTCAAATTACATTACCTATTAATATTTGTATTACTTATTATATGTATCAATATTATCTACACTGATTTCAAAATACTTTCACATTTTTCAGATCATTGGTAGAGTCTCCACCGCTTATTTTACCAAGGTATTACCCGTTTGTCTTTAAGCAGTTCATAGCAGGTGCAGAGGCGGAAGAAGTAAGACATTTAGTTGTAGACAGACCGGTGATACAACCTGTTATCGTAGAGAGAACTATTGTCAAAGAACGCGCAGTTAAGCAGGTTGTTGAGGAGGCCGTTGTACCAGTAGTACGTGAGGCTATCGTACCCGTGGTACAAGAAGTTGTTGTTCCTGTCGTACATGATGTACCAGTTGTCCAGGAACGTGCCCGCTATGTGCTAGAAGATGCAGCCCACGAAAATGCAGGATTCGTGCAGGAAAATGTAGTATTGAACCAAGGTGCACACTATGTATTAGAAGAAATGCCTACAACTTACGAAAATGGTAGATTCATGACGGAAGATATTCCTGGGAATTATAATGCCCATTATTTACAAGTACGTGTACCTAGGACTAGTGAAAACGTACGCTACGTCCGGGACGATTTACGCCCTTTCACCCGGGAAGGTGGAGGAAGCGTTTGGGAATCATCTTCACAAAGCAATGTAAGTTACACAAAGTATAAAGTTAATGTGTGAAATTGTATTTCAAAGTAATAAATCATTCATTTCATAAAAGTGTAATAATGCCAGGATGAAAATTATCATAAATACAAATATACTTAATACGTTATAGAGCTAAATATGAATTAACTGTTAGCGGAATGTTGTTGTTGATACGTATATTCTTACTCAAATATTGTATCATTTTTAACATGGTCCATACATAGAGCAGTATAAAATGATAACATTTATTGGTGTTTCAGGGAAGTACAGCGATTACAAGTCCGTCGATGATCTTACCTCGATTTTATCCTACACCTTATAAACAGTTTATACCTGGTTCAGAAGGGGATGAGGAAGAAATCATAACTAAAAAGTGGCCTTAAAAACTTCAAATATGTTCTGGTAATTTTATATAAACAATTACAGTCACGTGTTTCAAAAATACTATTTTCTTCATTGAATAAAAGTACAAAATCAATTTCCTTATTTTGAAAAAAAATTCCTAAAAACCCAAAACATTACACATGTATATTTTATATGGCACTTATTTACAGTCTTATGGTATCCCTGTATATAATAGAATCTGTTATTTCTTTTTTTTCCATTTCAGATTATCGTTATTGGACAAACAGTTTGATACCTGCTAGAAATTGCACACATCCTAGATTTCAATTTGGGACGGTCTACACCATATTCAAATATATTTTTACATCTACTACTGTAAAATGTAGTTGAAATGTTGTACAAAAGTACAAGTGAATGCCTACGTTTTTACGTACAAAAGATAAAATAACTATTTCGAAAAAGTTACATGTTGATTTTACATAGTTTAATTCAAAGTTATAGATTGTTTTTATTTCTTTAAAATTGCCTTACACTTAGAGCTTCAGTTAAACTTCCATTATAAATGGCTGTGTGAGGAAATGAACATATATTTCGATATATTTCGTACCACATATTACAAAAAAGTTTGTCAAGTGTAGGAGAAGATAAATGAGTGTCACAATAAATAAAAATAAATACACATTATTAAATTCCATTGATATAACATACATTATAGAAATATATATGATAATTATTTTATTATTGATAACAGGAAACATGTTTCATGCTTGTTATTACAGAATTAAAGTGTAATCACTGAGTAACATCATATTATTATGATTACCTGTATAGCATATCAAGTTCGATTTACGCTAGCACGTCCCTGATGTGTCCTATACCATTCTAACCCATGCCAATATTTTAAAGCAATACTCTTGTCTGGTGTTCTAGTGATATTAACGCGCGAAAGGTGTCCAAACACCAAATGGCATGGATTTATCATAAGTCAAGCCGATTAAGTTTTGTTTAAAACATTACAATGATGTATGAAGCAAATCTATATTGTATTTCAGTTCTTACCTCTACCGGCTAATGACATCAAAATATGTTAAAAGAAGTTATCCGTCTAACTGGCTGTCTGACCAATAAATTTGGCCATGTCCCCCTGTTAAACCCTTAAAGTGTGGGATTTCTTACATGAACTTACCCTGGTTTATATCTGGAATAATCCTTTTAAAATCTAAGGGATTTCAATATCACAAATACAAAAATGTAGCCACCAACGATATACAGCCTAGTTAGACTACATGGTAATGCTGTCTAGTCTGGCTCTGTACTGATGACAGAAGCTTATCACTTTCGGTTCCGTTAAGAAAAGAAAACAACAAAAAGTGTACTGAATATCCATATCCATGATCTGATTGGTCCTCTTCGGGAACAAGTAAATCAGAGTTACAAAATTACACCAAATTCCGCTCAATTGCTATCGACTAACAGTCTTCTCTTTGTTAAAAGTTTCCTCATAATATCATGTGTGTATATCACATTATTACAATGATGGCCATCAAATGCTGTTAAGTCAACATTGCCTTTTGAAATTATGACCATTTTGTTACATAAGATATGCCAAATTTGAAGAGTGCTATACTTTTACTTATAAATTGACTTTCAATAAGAATATAATTTAATAGTATATCAAGTGCCATCTAAGCTCGTGTCACGGTGTTAAACTGTCCACTAATTAGGGTAGATGGTGTGTATAAGCTCAGTCGGTAGAGCCGCAGTACGGTATTTTAAGGGTGCCGGGTTCCCGGTCAGGCTGCACATTTTTCTCACCCAGTGCCATTGGTGCGGTGATGAGTTCAATTTCACTTTGTTTTCTTTACCTATTATAAATCAGAGAACGGATTTCAATATATTGGGATTATATGTCACGGTATTTAACTGTTCACTAATCTGGTGTAAGTGTAAGCTCCGGATAGATAAGTCGATAGAGCCGCGGTACGGTATTCCGAGGGCGCCGGGTTCAAGTTTCACCCTGTGACACTCGCCATGTTATTTAGGAATAGCATTTTTTCAAGTAAATCTAGGTTCATACCCAGATCAAATGATTTGCATACAAAGGACGAATGTATGTATTTGAATTTATATATACTCGCCACCTAAAAATTCCTTACTCCCAGAAGCTTCCTGGCTTTCTATCATGACAAGTGTGTAAACTCTTATTCACAGGACCTCGACCTCGATTTAAAGTCTCATCTGAAAGTCTGTTTAGTAAATTTATTTGGCCATCCCGGGAATTGAACCCACAATGTCGAGATGGTAGGTCTCGCGCTCTAACTGATTGAGCCATGCGGGCTGGCAAATGACACATTTTATATACAAATAAATTCTACGGGTGTGTTGTTATAGTTTTGTCACGAGTTTTTCTGTTACTCGGGACGTAGTGAAACCAAATCTGGACGTAGGTTCGATGATATTTTAATTAAAGCCAAATAAAAATAGTCTAGAAAGATAAAATAATTATGTATCATATAATTACAATTCAAAAATAAAATACAAATAAACAATAATATGTACACAATCGACGCAGAAATAATATAATGCAATAAATTACTTAATCTTAATATGGCCATTTTACCACAGCGTCTGTACGAAAAAATTTCAATATAAATTGAAATAAAGTAAACTTGCAAATCAATGTAGTAGATTTAAATTAGAATAATAATTAGTAAACTAAACGTATGGCTCGTAAGAGATGAAAGTATAGAGAAAGCGGAACAGAATATGCACCAGAACCAGTCTCACATAGAAACATATACAACACAACACAGAACAAGTGCTCAGTGTTCACGCGGTCGGTCTATTTACCCAAGATACCCAAAGACTACCCTAAGACATCCCATGACTACCCCAAGACTTGGCAAAGACATCCCAAGACTACCCCAAGACACCCAAGACAATTTAACTTGCATTTAGATACGGTCTTAATTTTACATTATTTACGGGAGGTAACTATGCGATTTCACATGTAAAATCTTTCATTACCAGATTAAGGATATCCACACATTGCCTGAGGGTTGAAACAGGACAATATGATGAAAAAGATGAAAATTCATGTTCTGTTCAGTTATGTCAGCATCTTTTTGTTACTTCACAACAGCAGGTGTCAAGTGCTGGGTGGCAGCTGTAAAAAAGTTGCCCCGTACTTCACTTCAGTGTTGTTATATTTTTCTGGTCCTTCGGGATCATTGATGCCAGCACTATAAAGTGTTGAGAATTGAGTACCGCTCAAGCCGGTGCTAGGGGGCGTGAGGGATGTTGCACATTTTCATTATCCCTCATGTACATGATGTACAGACTCAATCAAACCGAGTCTGCAATTCTCTTGTAATTTTGTTGTGATTAACGCTTCCGAGGGATCACTTTGTTTCAGATCTTTATATGAAATTATATTCAAGTTAATAAGTATAAGTAATAAGCCGGTTCTATGGTCGCACACATTATTCAATCCACAACATTTGATTTGTCATTGGAACCAGTGTTTTTACGCCCCGCGCCCACAAAACCGGCTAACACATTATTCAATCCTCAACATTTGATTTGTCATGGGAACCAGTGTTTTTACGCCCCGCACTCATAGAACCGGCTAACACATTATTCGATCTTCAACATTTGATTTGTCATGGGAACCAGTGTTTTACGCCCCGCGTCGACAGAACTGGCTTACGCATTATTCAATCCTCAACATTTGATTTGTCATGGGAACCAGTGTTTTTACTTCCCGAGCCCGCAGAACCGGCTTACGCATTATTAAGTCCTCAACATTTGATTTCTCATGGGAACCTGTGTTTTTACGCCCCGCGCCCATAGAACCGGCTTACATCTGAACGGATGAACACATCTGCGGGTGTTTCTAAATTCAAAATTTCACCATTTTCGTGTTAAATGTTGAATTCTGCTTAAGCCGGTGCTAGCGGGCGTGGACGATAACTTGCACTTTCCAGTACCGTCCATGAACAGGCTCAATCAAACCGAGCCTGCACCATTTTCAATTTTGTCGTGTTGGACTTTCATTTGGGATTCTGTTTTTCTCTATTTTATAAATTATTCAATCCTCAACATTTGATTTGTCATGGGTACCAGTGTTTTTACGCCCCGCGCTCATAGAACAGGCTTACACATTATTCAATCATCAACACAAAATATTGGAAAGACGACCTTAAGATGAGCAAGAGTTTTTACCATTGCTACGCACCACTGAACCATGCTGTCGTAGGTAAATAAAGAAATATGGAAAAGGAAATAACACTTAAATAAAAATGATCAGTTTGAAAGCTAATACAAGGTAGAATATCTCAAGTTTAAATTACAATTCTGACTAGGAGAGATCCCTTGTCAGCAATGGAATAAAAATTGCAGGCTATCTGCATTATAAACTTATATCACTTCAGTTTACATTGAAACATATTATTGTGCAATGAATTATCTTAATAAATAACAATTTACAGCAATATTTTATACTTCTACCACATAAAATGGATGCGTACAAGCACTTTAAACAAAACTAATGTAATTATACATATTTTGACTGATACAAATGTATATTATTAAGGAAATAACACTTAAATAAAAATGATCAGTTTGAAAGCTAATACAAGGTAGAATATCTCAAGTTTGAATTACAATTCTGACTAGGAGAGATCCCTTGTCAGCAATGGAATAAAAATTGCAGGCTATCTGCATTATAAACTTATATCACTTCAGTTTACATTGAAACATATTATTGTGCAATGAATTATCTTAATAAATAACAATTTACAGCAATATTTTATACTTCTACCACATAAAATGGATGCGTACAAGCACTTTAAACAAAACTAATGTAATTATACATATTTTGACTGATAGAAATGTATATTATTTAAGTTCAATTGCATTATCAGTGCCACTTCTAAATATACACCCACGATTTCTAAGGATATACATAGTTGAAACAGTTATCAGCACAAGCAGGATAATACATCCAATTGTTAACGGTATGATCCATAATAGATTATTATCAGAGTCATTGTTATCTTCATTGGACTTTGTTGTGTTTATTTTTTGTGTATCTGTTGACATATTTGGATCATATGAAGTTGTAGATCTTGGACGATTGGTTGTAGTTGAGGTGTTATTAGCCGTATCAATGTCGGTGTTTCCGCCAGAAATTTCAACACGTATTAACAAAGATGATGACTTAGATGGTATACCATCATCGTACACGACCAACTCCATGTCATATGTTACAGCAGTGGTAATCTTTGCTCTAAGTACTACGGCAACTGTAGACTGATTAATCTGTTTAATATCAAAATGGTTTTGGCTATCATTTCTTAACTGAAAAACAACATTATCTTTATCACTATCCTTGGCTGTAACATTTGCCACGATAAACCCTACCTTTGTTTCTTTTGTCACGTTTTCGGAATTTAGGGATGCTATTATTGTCGGAGAATACTTATTTTTGGGACCATATGTTAGAATATACATATCGTCTACTTCATCGTTATCAACTTCTGAATGTCCCGACTCCATAAAATCAAACAGATGAACAAAGAATTTGTCAGATATATGAGTTGTCTGCCAGGCATTTTTGTCAAGTAATATAACTTTCCCAGACTTTGAAACTACATTAACCAAATGTTCTTCCTCCGAGTTCATGGACCTAGTGAATGTATTCTCTATCCGTGTATAAAACCACATCTTTACTTTGGCAATTAACGATACATTAACTTGTTTATAAGTTTTCATAGAAGAACTTGTAAAGGTTTTCCATTGAATATCAGTCACGTTTGCTTTGAACACGGGTGACACAGAAGAACCATTTGAACTGTCATACACTTTATCCGGAAAACTCTCTTGGTCCGGATAGCTATCCACAAGAAAATCATCTAAGCCATCATTAATACCCGGTAATTCTATTCTTACCAGATGTATTAGTTCATGGTATTCTAATTTATCAATCAATGATAACTGAGGATCTCCGAGAGGATTGATATTTTCAAAGGTTGCACTGTAGTTGAAGAATGTCCCCATTAGTGTCGACGTCAAGAACCATTTTGCCGTTTTTGTCTCAAATGAAGGGATATCTCCAAAGTCGACTGTCAGTGATGGTGCTATGTTTTTATTCCCAAGTGTAGCTCCAATTATCTTAAATGAAACAAGAAGGCCTTTCTTGTTCTCAATTATCTCTGGCTGACCGGAAGTAATCTTTAAAGCTCTAGCTACACCGTATCCCGAATTCATAACCATTACAGCGAGTGTGAAAGGAACAACCGGCTCAATTTCTGGTGTAAGTGCGTCATCACCTTGTACATATTTCTCATGAAAATAATGGACAATAAGACTTGGATTTGGTGAGACAACTATTGTGTCAGGTAGAAGAGGCACAGAAAATTCAGTTCCATCAACACTATACGATAACTGTCCACCAACATCGTACTGAGTGTCGTCCTTTGGAGCTGCGTTACTGTACGGTATAATCAACCATTCTGCAGAGCCGGATAAGTCGCGCCCAAGAGACCCTTTTCCGTCTACACTGCTTATTCCTATCAATGTCAGTTTACCTATAAATATAGAACTGAATAAGAGATATATTGTAATATTTACATACTCAGCTTTTCAAACTGTTTTCATTTCCTTTAAAGCAAAATTTATGTTCTACGCGTTAATTTGTTAACAAAAAAATCATAACTTTTTCACAAATATTCATTATAGGTTTTTATTTCTATACTTTGCCGATTGTTATTTTGCCTAAAATATGCTTGATAGTATTGTAAACGTTAATTTTGAGTACGTCGTTAGATAGAGAGAGATTAGATCTACTTAAACATCTCCATATAAGTGAACTGACAACTGTTCTTTCCAAGGCGGCACTCCATCAGGTTTCGTGTCCTATGTTCATATATGTACGTCCTATGTTTAAATTGTAAGTCATATGATTTACATATCTTTATACACACAAAGGTTTTTGACTTTAAACCATTTGCAATTCATCGCTGTAGGTTCGAGTCCCGCAAGCTTCTTAGGATTCTTTCACGTGAGAATGAGATCTAGCTAGCGTCTGGGGTTCTACTCAGGTGCCACTTTTTGACTGACATAATGCATATCATGATATACCCGGGGTCTTTCTCTACCAGTAAAGCTGGAAGGTCGCCATATAACCTATACTGTATTGGTGCCATTTAATGCCAAACCAAAATAAACAATAAAAATAAATATAAATAAACGGAATAATGCATGATAAATCAAAAGAGAAACCTGTTTGCATCCTTTTACTTTTTAACAAATCTTATCATGCAGTTTTCAGCTATATCAAGCTTGTTTCGAAATCAATTCAACAAAAAATATTTACTATTATTACATTAACGTTTGAAGTAAGTTAAATAAATCTACAACTTGTACTGAAAATTAATACCTATACTGGTCGGGGACCATCAACCGGACACTTTTTGTACATTTTTCCGTACAGATTTCATAATTTTTAACCTAGAGATAAAAAAATTTAACACAGTTCAGCTAGGTTCTTCTCCTAACTAACAAACTAGGTTGTTTATTTCTGAATGTATTGACACTTATATCTGAGGCTTGACAAGGAGGGTATCAAAATTACCTAAATTGTCTACACTACAGTACCATGTGTCCGGACAGATATGTACATGACGTGATTTAATTCAGATAAAAGCTTGCGTGTTTTGATTTTTGATTTTTAACAAAATATGTCCAATATTTCAGCAACAAATGCTGAAGTTTTGGATATTCTATTGTTTACTCTGCAAATGATTATAGCTGGTATATGAGGTCAGGTATTGCTTTATTGACCCCCAAATTTCAACGTCAACATTCTTGAAATAGACATTAAAATATTACCATTTATGGAGGTTAAAATGTAATTATTTACTTAATTTGAGAAGAAACATGCATTTATTGTTGATAAAAAAGTGACTGACAACCAATGAACAAAGAAAATACTAAATTAAACATTTAACGGGCCGTCCGGGTTTGATGGTTGTCCGGTTTTGGTGGTCCCCAACCAGTAAAGGAATTTATGTTCGTGAAAATGTTTCAGAAAAAATAATATGAGACAGATATTGTAATGAGTTTTATGGGTTAACACAGTCATTTTAGATTTTTTTTGTGTGTTGTTATGTACCATGATGATGAAGACATAAGCGGTGTTATGCTATATCTCTTACATACAACGTATTTAATATATATATAAATTACCGATTGAAAACTTATCGTTCTCAATGTCATCGGATCCAAATGTTGGTTTGATTTGTACTTCTACTTTTATATTTTCAAGATCGGAGTTTTCACCATTTTCTATCTCTAGTTTAGCTTTAAATGCGTCTCTTGTCAGTACAAGTTCTTGTTCAATCTTTATCCGTACTCTGGCACAGACACCATCTTTTCTTCTACTCAAACTGCTGCACTGTATAACATAATGAGAACCTGACTTTAAAAGTGCTCTATAGAATAACATGCAAATAAGGAATTCAGTGTCAAATCAGTTTTTATCGTTCCTATCATTTTGGAACGATATAAACCACTAAAATAGAATACTCATGTAAGTATCCGTATATTATATTCTCTTAAATACTAAATATCTGATATATATTTTCCTTGAAAACGCATATATATTTTATAATGCAAATTAAAAAAAATGTGACCTAACAAGTCGAGCAATAGAAATTGTGGGATACAGAAAACTCGAGCGTATGTATTTCTTCAGTTAAAAATGATAAAATTTAGTTATTTCAAAATTGCACTTGCATTCATATAATTTTATGGCAACCGATATATTTGAAACCGAAAGAATACCAAACGTCATATTTTCATTGCAGTGCAGTTATCTTTACCACGATGATGTTATATAACCTCACGAATGAGAGTGCATGACGTTACGCCGGAAAAATCAATGAACAAATAAATGATTGAAAACAAAATGTAATAGATAGAAAACATAATTGTTTACAGTTCATAATCATTAAGATCAAGTTATAATTCTTTCTTCGCAATGTTTCACTCATAGGTACGTCACTCATTTAAATATCACATCTAGTGTTTTTCAGCAATTTATGTTTTGGTCTTTCATCGGAACAAATATCCTCAAAATTGCCGACTTAAAATCATGTAATTAACATGTAACTATACAAATGACAAAAAGTTACAGGAAACTGCTACCTCTTTCTCTTCAGAATCGTAGTAGGCTTTCACCAAGTATTCAAATTCGCCAAAGACCGAATTATATCCCCTCCCCTTTGACTGTTCATTATCACTCAGGAACATGTTTACATGGTGGTATAAACGTTTCAAACTTATCACATTACCGTTTGCCTCAAGTTGTGAAAGAGTACCATTTTCCATTGCGGCAGCTGTATGAGCACATAAAGAAGAAAAAAACACTACATATAACAGTCACGTATGCAGTTTACATATTTTGGTACGTATACATGTATACTGTGAATAGCTAAAAATGATTTCAATAAAATTAATTGCAATTAAATACGCTATCGAAATACAGTATCTATGTACATAAATGCATTAAATCTATGTTATAATTTCAACAAGTAATATAATTAAAAAAAAACAATTCACGTTAAAATGCCCGATATATTTAGAACATAGTTAATGTCAGTGTAGAATTATGATAATGACTAAAGATTTAATTTCTTTTAAAAGTTCTTGTTAAATAAAGAAAAACGGAAATATTAAAGAACGCCCAAAAACGGCAAAATGAAAACGTTGCAGGCTTGGCTTGGATCATGTTTATGGACAAAAGTGGTAAGTGCAGGCTAACGTTCTCGCGCCTTACACCTGCTTCAGCAGCATTTAACATTCAATATGAAAATGGTGATTTTTTTGTTTAATTAAGAAACATCTACAAAAAGTGGCTGTTTGCATTTGACTACACAGTATCCCTAGACCAACGCCGATTTCATCATGTAAAATTTCTCATAGTCCTCGTTCCTAAATGTGATAGGCGCTATAGGATTGAAAGACGTGATAAGTCTGTCAGATTATAATTAATTAAGTCAATTAAAACTGTAATATAGTTGTTACAGCTTCAGCCAGTAAATAACAGCATGTCACTACTACGAAGTCAAATAGGGGTTATAAACCTTAAGTGTGAGATACTGTGTACATGTAGTTCCTTATGGAAGGCAAAGGCGAGTACTCTTAATATCAATACACCAGCATATCTTCCTGTTTGTCTAAAGTTCTAAAACCAGCCTGGTACTGAGTACATATATGTCCATAAAACGTTCTAGACCAAATCAAAAAGCATGTTTTGCTATTAACAAATAATATATGAGTGTAACTGTCTTTGTTTATGCTTCAGGACGTGTTAACACCCCTTTTATAGCAGCAAACGTGTTAATGTATTCCATACATAGTATAACACTTTTTCCACAAGTTGTGCCCTACACACTTTTAGACCACATTGACTACAAACAACTGATAATAAGCGGTTGGATGATTTAGAAAGGACATGTGCTAAATGTATATATTTGTTTAAAAATACCGTTATTTGTCATGTGAGTCAAGTAAGTTGTAGAAAAGCAGGAAAGCATGCCTTTTAGAAATAATGTGACGAAAATTGGAAAAACTCGCTGATGTTTAGAGGGTGCACAGAGTTATAGACTAAAAACTCGAAACAGGGTTCATAAAGATAAATTCGAACTTTGATTAATCAAGACCCCCTACCGAGTTATACTGTTACCGCAACATTTTCATTTTTGCATGCTCCATGCCCATTGATGTTTCCATTAATTTCGTTTGGGAATGATAAAGTTTAAGAATATCCATCCTTTCCTTTAAACTCAAGCTTGATGGCAACTGAACCTACCCATATGACCAACGCCATCTGATCATGGTCTGCACGCACTGTCCGCGCTACACAGTCAAAACTAATTTTCAAATTTCCCCTTTAAATGCTGCATGGTTCTGTTCAGATTAAATGCCGTGAAGATAATTAGCATTGTATGGGTTGATGTACAAAGTTCATTACAAATTTACATTAAGAGTAATATTTTTGTCGTTAATTGTGAAATTAATGCTTCGTGTACTTGAAACATGAGCTGTATAAATATTCGTTTATATACCTGTATCGTTGTAGCGTCCAATGAACGTGCTAAGGTTCTTTTTATATTCTTCCGCCATTAGCGTATCTAAGATTGCGGATGATTCTTTTTCAGATATCATAACACCAAGCTGTGTTTCTTCGCCGACACTTCTCTTAAATTCTCTATACCAAGTTTCTGTTAGCGCACTTTATTATGAAATATAAAAGGGTTAAAAATAAAGTTTCAATTTTACATGTTTTGTTTATTGATATGCTAAAAATATATGTATAAACATCAAATGCTTGTTACAGACTATGCAGCCCCAAAAGTGTAACAGTGTCTTATTGTTCACATTCAACCCATAAGAATGTGAAAATTGACTTTTAATAATGTGTCTCAGCTCAGGTTTGTACAGTCTGTACAAATACAACCAGACCGAACTATTTCAGTATCGCACTTGTGTTTAGATTCTTTTGTGTTTTTTGTTCACATTTTTACCCCCATGAAAAAATAAAACAAAGTGTATAATATCCATTTTGTACATTTTTAGGAGTATTGTAAAATAGAAACTTGTTCAGTTTTCATCAATTTCGTACTATAGCAACCGTAATGAAAACATGACGTGCCAAATTACCATATGACCTCCTATTCTACATTTTGAGTTATCACAGAATCATGATTTCTTCCGATGGACGAAATGACGGACATGCGAATGTGGGTAAACATATATACATTAATCGTAAAATGGGGGTTATGTGTGTTCTTGATACATTGAATTTATCATCTAGATAATTATATTAATTTTTACGCACATATTTTAGTTAATTTCTTCAGAAACGTTCAAGATTTTCACTGTTAAAACAATGCTTATTAAGGAAGTGAATACTTTGATTTTAAGATATAAATATTGATGTTTTTTTAGTTGAAACACTTTCAATGCCAACGCATAACACGCACGATAGACATAATGCGTGGGTAAAATAACTTTACCGGCTATACTAACTATAAATGAAAATATACCCACATTGATTGGTTCCCAATTATCTCTTTTCCCATGTGGATGAAGTTCAGGATAGGACCACACACCTTCGTTAAAGCCGCCAAAATATCGGAACTGATCTCCCGGCGTTTGCGGCCACCAGAACATTTGGATTCCACGTCTTGAACACATCTTTATAGTAATGAAAATATTTTTATTACCCTTATCATAAATTCATAAACTTTGATTATAGAGATCTGACTTTAATTATCCAAAACTCTAACACTATCCTAATATGTATATCATCATATGAAATATTATTTAATTTATTTATTTGTGTATCAATAACGGTATGAAATGTATATTACTTCACTTTTCATATCCGCCTATTTCAAAGTTGGGAAAAATAGAGGCATATTCGAAGAGCATAAATAATGTTCCAAATATAAAATGTCTATAGTTAATTGTATTCACGTATTACATTAGATATTAAATGTCATGTGTTATCTACTGTTTTATCTCATTGCCTTTCGATTTTGATGTTATGTTATGATAATATAAAATGCTCTTTACCTTACTGCAGTATACAAATATTCAATAACTGGTAGATTCCTCTTTGCTAGCTCGGCAAGTATCTTCTTCGGGTATGCCTTTTTAATATCATCCACAACGTCTTCAAGCAAACATCCAACCACCATGTCCATAACACCCAGTACCTCATCCTTAAAGCTGGAACTAGACTATTACACAAAAGGAAATTAAAAAACAAGTCAATAATTATCGGTGTTAAAGCACATTGGTTGTGTTCCCCTCTTGGTATTAGAAACCTTAAGTTTCAAAATCTCATTTTGTCCTATGTAGATTAACATATGTAGATTAACATGTTGTATGTTTAAAACAAAGTTTAAAACATTAACTTGAGTACAGAAAGATTTTTGCAGTCCGAAAGTAGCTTTATAACAACATCTTGGTTCACATTTTTATTTTTATGTTATGGCTACATAATTATGATTGGCATGTATATAATAATGACACAATTGTTTTCGTTAATTGTTTAAGTATTTGTCTAATAACGAAATAACATAGGTAACATAACAGCGTTTGGAGTACCACTACCACTTCAGCCTAACAATATTTTACAATTTTATTATATTTGATCATAACAAGTGCGTTTCCCATATAAATCAGTTATATTGAAGTAGTTCGGTTCCTGGCTGGAAGACATATTGAATATGAAAAAAAGAGAATAACAGCTGACATTATAATTTACAGGAATCTTTACAAACATTTGACCTATTATATTTGCTCATTTTATATACATAGTTTACCACACAAAAGTGATGTTATAAAGTAGTAATACAGATGTATCTTAGTTTTCTTTATAATTCACAAGAAATGCCCTAAACTGTTTTTTTTACCTTCCACAGAATTATAAACAATATATTAAAGAAAGTAAAATCACATACATGATCTGCTGTGGCAAAGTTGAATACTGCTAACGAGCATCCATATCCAGGAATAAACGCCAAAACACAACTTTTGAAGAATGTGGTAAGGCAATCACATGTTAGTGCCGTTCCGGAAACATATCCTACCGCAAATCCGCTTCCATGACGACCACTCAAACGACCATGAGAATAAAACAGACCCAAACACGATCGCGGTGCATTTCCGTGTGAAAGTCTTACAAGAGCAGATCGTGTCTGAGTTCCAGAGCATTGAAAACTGTACAGTAGCAATATATCGACACAAGATGAGCCCGAAGAACGTTTTTCTCTATGCTTAAGCATTGTTTGCACAGGAACAACAATTGATGAATTAGCAGCTATACTTCCAATTACATCAATCATCTGAAATGTTAAAGTTGACAGTCATAAATTTAGTGATGTAATTTTAAAGATATATTAACCTTTCAGTTTAATAAAAGTTTCTATCAGCTTGGTTATACAATTGTTTTGTTACAGAAAATATCAAGTCGTATAAACACAATCAACCATATGATTTTCAATATTATGCGTGAGTACATTTTGATATAAGTATATGCTTAAGATACACATATGAACAAATAATAAAAATATAATTTATTTTGATCAATTTGCCTGTTGTGATAACATTGCATATATCATTAGTAAATGACCAGACATTTTAACAAATTTTTAATTATATAATTAATTGATAAATTAATTAATTTATTAGTGAATTGTGTTACATACCGATGTAAATGAAAGATACGGATGGGAAGTTGGTAATGAAAATCTAACATTATCAGCACGAATCAAACCGTGATTTGTTAACGTAAATTCAATTGTGCTCGTCTCTAACATAACTAAAGGTTGTGTGTCGATATATGATGGTTTAACTGTCACCACTGGCATCGGAACCTATAAAAACAGAAAATATATATTTGACATAAATAACGTTATTTGTTCAAAGTTATCTTAAGAGAGTTTATTCTTTGTATCTAGTATACTTATGAAAAGTAAGAAATAATTCGCCTATGTAGTAAAATGTGTAAACTCTCAAAATTCGTTAACTCAAGTATTTGATGTAAAAAGAAATATAATCAAACTGAAAATGTAAATCTAAATGAACTCTAAATGCTTGTGTCTGGCATGAATGGTATTTCTTTAAATGATAGGTAAATCGATATTTTAGATTATTGGAACAATATTTTACGTATGTTTCAAACGTGGATTCCAAATCAATGATGTAAACGTCTTTGATAGTCGTTGTTTCAACTGTCCAGGTGTATTTAACGGCTATGCGTGGCAGGAATATATCGTATTTAACTTTTTCAGGGGAGATAAGTATTACATTCGCATATGACGAGTGACTCTCCGCCTCGACATGTATCGTATATCGGTCTTCATATATTTCTTCAAATACCACGACACCTGAAATATAGTCTTGATATCAATTCACCAAATGCATGCTTCGAATTAGAGCGAACTGTCACCAATGACAAATTCAGATAATAACCGACGTATAAATGTTTATACATGTATATATATTGTACTGAACATGAGAAGTACTTAAAACTTGTCATCTTTATGTATTATCAGGCATTTTTTCGCCGCAGCTTTTTTTTAAACATTGCTCAATGTTTTTAAGAAACATCCAGTTCATCACAGGAGTAAGGTTCTAGTCCTCTGGTATATTTCCGTCATTTTGTGACATTTTATTTACCAGTCAAAATATCTGATTTTTCTCAAAGTTACATAAAAAAATCGACGAAAAATATTTGTGATACATTGATATCATTTAAACTGTTGAAGTTCTACTTTAGAAATTCTAACCGAAGACTATATTTCGAATAAAAAGGCATACCGTATGACAAAAATAATCTTTTTTTGTGTGTTTATTTTACATGTACTATCAAATGAATGTCTTTAATACCGATTTCATTTGATGTCTTATCTATCTACATTTAACTGGAAATAATTTCATTCACCTGTTTCATTGTCTGTAAGCTTCTCCTCTGAAAACGCCCTTCTAGGATTTTTAAGTTTTATACGTGCGTTTGTAACCAGTGGAGATCCATCTGCGAAATACGTATATTCATCTTTTACAACAAAAGTAACATTCATTGTCTTTGAGGATGTTATGACTATTGTATAGGGTAAATCATATGAAGCAGATGCAGAATTGATGTAAATGGTTCCTCTCATTTCACCAAGTGCTTCATTTTCTTCAATTATAACAGAAATTGATAACCGAGCACTTCCTGTTGGTAATATATCTACATTTGTATGTGTCGAGTTAGTAAGCAAATAGTTATCCCCTGTAAATGATACCAACGACATCCTAGAATCACCAGGAAGACTGACAAATACGTTTTTTGCTGAAATATCTCCAATATTTGTGATGTTTATGTCTATGATTTTTAACGAACCACGCACGATGCTCTCGCGAAGAAAACTAGGTTTTAATAATAGAATAGGTTTTTGGACAGATAGTTTGATGTGTACATTCATGCCAGTATATGTACCCTCATTTGAAGTGAAATAGATATAGATGTACCCATAAAGCGGTTGCACATTAGTTATTACCAAATCAAACAAAACCTTTTCATCTACACCAAAGTTCCGTATAAAGAACTTGGATTTGTTAGTATTATTTAAGTCACCAGATTTCGTTAAAATTGCTCCAGGTAGCCCATCAACCTGTAATGAAGAAGCAGTTAAAATCAGCATCACACCAAAAATAAAACTAATTAGCAATACGTGTATGACATATTATGATGACATACTACTGTAGTACTATTTGTTCAGATATATACATGACATTCTTTAACATAAATATGTTTTGACGAAGTTATATAGAAATATCACAAGATGCTAGCTTATCCACTGTAATTTACATTACATAGTTTCAACAGTTATAAGGGAACGCATTAATATCCACAATCCAGATCAGACATAGTTATATTCTGTGATTTATTTGCGCGACTGAATTTATTACGAAATACTGGACACGAAGTGAGTAAAATATCATTACCTCCCCTGCTATATCAGTAATGTATGAGTTGCCAACATTTATCAGTGAAGATATATTCATTATTGATACTGTATTTTCATCAGGTGATAGTATTTTATCAATAACGACCGAAGACGGTTCACACTTCATGCCGAGGACAGACCACGTGATATTAGGAATCATTGACATTAACGTGTTTCCGGGATGTTTAGCAATCTGAAAATTTCAAAATTACATTTTCCGGTACAATAGAAAACGATAAAATATCTTACGAACAACAAATATAAATTGCAGCATATTTTAAATCAAACTTGTCAAGTAACTATGTAATGATTCTATAAAATAAGGTGTTATTTGTAATTATCACAGAGGTGAGCGGGTTTCCGGTGTTTATGTATGTTTATATCAAAACGAAGATCGTGGGTCTGAGCCCTTCTTAGGCTACGATCATGTTTCCTTAGATGACAGTTGTACTAGTTAGATCAAGGAAGGAGTTCAGTGGTGGTGCTAAAAAGCTTTATTTACAATTACAAATGTTTAAAACATAAATGTATGTAGTACATGTATCATTATTTGACGTTTAATGGCACGATTTAAAAACTTGTCAAAAGTTATTTTTGAAAGAAATATGAGAGATTTGTTTAGTTACCACTGAAAAAAGTCCTGCATCGTCTGGTCTAGGATAATACATGGCTGTAAATGTGTCTGGCGAGATACTGCTGGATTCTACATTAATCACAGTTTCACGTTTTGTTTTCTGACTGAACACACTTGAAGACAAAGAAAGCATATCTTTAATTGAAAATATCGCTTATTCATACAAAATACAATACGCTAAAATCACTTATTCTACTTTAACATAGCACAAGGTATCAAAATCAGTAAAACTTACATTACTTTAACAGGAACAGTACGTGAAGAGTTTTTCTGGACAAATTCCACTTTACCAACAATGCTGACTGTCCGAGGAACTGGAAAGATTGCGGCACTGGGCTCTATGTACTCAACGGTCACAGTGTATGATAAAAGAACCGTAAGAGACCATGCCACAGTAACTTCACTTATGATATTTGAGGCTTTGACTTCAATGTGATATGGGCGAATATTTGCTTTTGTGTCAGGCCATAGTAGCAGTCCTGTCTTTTCGTCTATTTTTATTCCGAGAGGACCTTTGGAAAGAAACCATCGCACTGGAATGTCTCCCTAAAATGTTAATGTTTCAATATTAACATTCAAGTTTGTTTCTCTTCTTTAAAGGTTGTAAGCACACACACATACTTCTGGCGTTTACTTCTTTGGTACTTTATCAGTATTTCTATCATGAATAAAACATAACAGGAAAGAGATTATTAAAAAGATAAACAGTCAAACTTGTATACTCTGTTTTAATTAGTCTGATCATTGGAATAACTTATAGTGCAACATACTACATCCTGAACTAGCTTAAGTAGTATTGAGCACTTAAAATAGAGAAGAACAAAATCCCTAAAGAAAGTCCAACACAACACAATTGAAAATGTTGCAGGATCGGTTTGATTGAGCCTGTTCATGGACGGTATTGGAAAGTGCAAGTTACCGTCCACGCCCCCTAGCACCGGCTTAACCTTTTACCTCATATATACGCGAAACAATGCACTTTCGACCCCCCCCTTTTTTAGGCCTGAAATAGTGAAAAATTGTCCTATTTGGGCCCCAAACACAGCACTTTTTCGGCGCCGCCCCCATCCAAAAGATACATCAGGGTGTTGCCAGAAGGGGGATGTGCCCCCTTCTGTTTGGGGTGTTTGAAGGGGGGCGGAGTCCCCCTCATCGCCAAGAAAATTTTGGACTTGTGAGAGGCTTTAAATGACCCAAGGTCGATCATAAGGTAACGTGTAACCAACGCTGAAAAGCCTTTGACTCTATCTCAATCCCTTTAGAAGTTGCAGCACTTTGAAATACATTTTGATGGAAAAATCGAGGCAAAATAGTGATTTTTGGCAATTTTGAGATGTCCCCTCGTTGCCATGGTAACAGGAAATTTAAGACTGAGCATGTCGTTACAAAGGCAATCAATGGTCCAGTCAACATTCGTGCCAAGTTTGATTAGTATTGAATTATTTTTCATAGTTTCATAGCAGTTTGAACTTGTAAGAGGAGGCTTTTCAGTGAAAACGGCCATTTTTCACAATATTCTCATGGGGGAAAGGGTTAAGCAGTATTCAACATTAAACACGAAAATGGTGACATTTTGAATTTAGAAACATCCGCAGATGTGTTCATACTGCGGTTATCATGGAATCTTCAATGTGACACAGTAGTGCCATTCCATGGAAAGCGGCGTATTGTCCCTAAGTAAAAGAATGCTTTTGCCCTTTAGAAACAGAAAACAATGGGCGGAACTAAATAAAATGTAATTTTGAAAGGGGATCTGAGGTTATGAAGCCTGCATATCACAGATCAGACGTCAAAAGACAAATTTAAAAAGCAGGCAACATATCCTTGGGGTGACTGTACAGTAATCAAGTAGGAATACTGGAACCACCCAATTTGAAAATGGCCAAATAGAAGAAACTAATACGAGTAGTACCACATAACATGTATACGCAACAATAATGTCGTGCTGAACGATCTTCAAGGATCGAAAATATAACATCATTGATTAAAACTGTAAAATAAGTTATTGCAGATAGCAAGAAATTAAATAAGATAATTAACTTTTTAAAGTTAAAACTGCTACTTACTTCCGCTAACATAAAAGTTATTGATTAGACTGCAACTGATAATGGACGACTTGATATTGACAAAAATTAAAATAGACATATAGACATGACTCGACAACATAATTGTATTTTATACCTGTTCCACTTCGAGTTGCAGGCTGTAAAGTTGCGATTCGTTGACAGTTTGTAGATGTGGTACGTCTTTTATAAGCAACGGTAGTATCTTGACTGTGCAGTTGTCTCCCTTCCAAGGTAGGTAGCATGAGCAAGACCCAAATACACACTGCCCACGCGGTGGGTTTATGTCTCGCCCACAGAACGCAGGAGGACAAGTCGAGTAATAAAAATATGTCAGCTGGAATTTGAATATTGATATCGGACTTTTCAACAAAGTTGACTTTACAACGATCATCACCCGATTATATTTTAACGGTATTACGATTCACTTTGTGATTTGAACTAAAAATTGCTAATGTAAAACCACGATTGTTCGCCAAAACTATTTTCCTAATGGATTAAAACAATGTTGAGATTTTTTGAAATAGTTTTTGTGAGCAAATACATACAAGTTTTAAAATGGATTCCAATAAAAACAAAAAAGTATAAATACACAACACTCACATGGTCATTTGTAAATTCAGTCCCGTTTGGAGATATTTCAAGAGTAACCTCCCCTTCTGGAAGCCTCGGAGCAATACACACAACGTGATTTCTTGCTAACCATTTCCCAACGCTCTGTGTTTTTCCAAAACGACAGTTGTAAGAGCCGTTCACTGTTCCAGGGAAGTTATGCCCCCATACGTGAACATCAGTTCCACCCTTTTCTTGTCCTCTGCTAGGAACTATTTCCAAAATTTTCATTAAAGGTAAACACTCTGGTCCATAGAAAGTATCATTACATCGATCACAGAGGTAACCAGCCCAGTTACTGTTTTCACATTCACATAGTCCTGAAAAGTTGTATACATAGAAACAAGTAATAGATACAATATTTGATATGATCATCCTTACAAATGTATACAATGCTGATTATCGTATAATATTTAGTTTAAGCGCTTGAGCTTTTAAACTATTTATCTTTACGCAATTCGTCACAGTGATTTTGCAATGACCTTTGTAATATTATCGGGCTCCGCCTCCTCCTATTAAGTCATTCAATCTGGTTCGCGCATGCTTAGTAGACTAGGTATATTAATCGAGCACGCTTCTGCAAATTCCTTTTCGGTCCAGTCTCAGAGCCCCTGAAGCTGCCCTGAATCAACACGGAAATATGCCTACCCGCCCTTCCCATTTGCCTTACTGTTATTTTTTTCTCTATTTTCAGGTAAGAATGGCCGCCGCGGTACTTAGCCCCTCTACGTCATGGCTGGAATTATCATTTTAACAGTCAATATAGATTTTACAACATCCGGAAGTTTACCAACGTCGACTGTCAGACCATTATCATTTTGAATACGACGACGGTTCAAAGACAGTTTAACTGTATATAAACATTAGATACTTTTATTCGAACACTCGTTGGATGCAACTCCAACACTGTGTGTCTTTCTGATATTGTGGAATTGACCTTAGGTTAATCTGTAACCGATGACGAGACAAAACAAAACACTGTGTTCAGATTCCATAATCAAACTCAGTCATGACGGACATATTATGCAAACTATAAATGAAATAAGTTTAACATAGTGATAACGGTTGGTAAAAATAATACATTAACATAAATGTTTAAAATTAATATTATCTAGGAACATTTTGACAAATAAATGCATACCCGTTTGAGAACTGCAAGTCCCGTGTTTGCACTCTGGACACGGCTGACAAGATGGTCCCCCAAAATTAGGTTTACAGAAACTACAATCACTTCCGGTATATCTTGCTGCACATGTACATGTATTTGGTTTAGAACAAAATCCATGTCCACTACAATTATTAACTTGGCTGAAAATACAAAAATTGTTTTTTATCTAATATGCAAAACAGTTGCGCGCTAAGATTGCCCTTTGAATTTCTATGATATGTCTATTTTTTGTTCAACTCGTTTGTCCTTATATTTGCATACTATTTAGTTTAAAGTGCAGGTTGTCATTTTGGATATTGTTAGATTAATTAGCTGCTAATTGCAAATTATACGGTTAATTTACATACACTATAT